CACCCCCAGAATAAAAGATCATGCTCTTATGAAGTGTCTCGGTATATCATTACTTGTTTTCTAATTAGGGTGACCTTCTAATACGTCTGAAATTTAGAATGTTCTATGTTTCAACAAGTTTCTTTTTTTATAATTAAATCCATCCCATGTCGTGAAAATCGTGGTGATTTTGCCGATTTTCAAAATAATCGGCGTAAAATCGCAATTAATCATATATAGTGAAGAAATTCATGATTATATAGAATTTTATTACGCTCATGGTAAGAGAACCGATGTTTTCAAAAACCGGGGATTAATCACAGATCTTGGTAAGAAAAATTAAAATTACCAATTAATTACGAAAAGTTTGAAATCTATCAAATCGTGAATAAAATATCCTTATACATCAGATTTTTCAATGTATTCGTTGAAACTCAAAGCTGAAAACCGGATATTTTTATTCAGGGTTTCACTAGAGTGATCTTCACGGGATTGGATTATTTCGAATCACAATGAAATCGAATTGAAGTTCACATTCATTTCTTTATTTCAAATTTGTAACATGTTTCCATCACGTATAATCTATTTTAGATATATTTCTCTGTCGAATAATTTTTAGATTAAATTTTTTTCTTGAATCTAGTTTCAGATTAAAATCTCTATCCTTGACCAAAGCCAAACTAAAAGATATTGAATTTATTCTATTTATATTTACATCTTGTACCATAATATCACAATTATTATTATTTTTAGATTTAGATTTCCTCGGTGTGCTTTAGATGTAAGCTTCATATACCGGCATGACCTTTTAATCAATGATCGCGAAAACAATTTATTCAGAATACGTATCCGTATATATGAACGCTATTTTTTGATACTCTGCTTTTGTATTAAATGTTTACGTATTGTATGAGTTTTCTTATTTTTGGTAATAATTATTTAGAATGGAATCATGTACATGTTTTAGTCTTACAATAAAAAGAATGATTCAATTAGAGTCAGCAATAAAAATTATAAAATGTATTTATAAAATTGAGTTTAAATGACTCAAATCATGCCCAAAATTGCGAGAATAATGCGTAATACTCGATCGAAAAATCACGATTTATCACAGGAGTCGCCAAAATTATTGGGAAAATCGCCGATTCAGCGCACGACTATTGTTTCGATAAATCGCGATTAATTGGCAATATTTTAGCGATTTCGAAGACATGGGTCATCAATCAACTCTTACTCTCTATCTATCAAAGTATATTTCAATAACAGTAAGAAGACATGATATTAATTGTGATAAACATTTCCAACAGTATCATACGAAGCTTAGTGTTAGTTTTCTATGCTTTGTCGAATTAACTCTTAGCAGCAGCATCGAATTAGGGATTACGAAGTGGGCGTATATGAAAAAGGATAAATTTTAGTTTGAGTAAGGAATCCGTTGGTTAAGTGAAATCTCGAGTTTCTGTCCTACTGCTTTCTCTCCTTCATATTCTATATGATTTTAGTGATAATCAACTATAAGACATAACCCATGTCGCCTCTTTTTTACCAACTGCGTCGCAGTTACGCGTAAATACGGTGCATTGATCGTAGTGAAGACTTTTCTTAAATACTACGCCTAATGCGACCCAGATCAGCGTAACTGCGTTCAAGTGATTGCATCATACGATTCGTTGTAACTGTAACTGACCAATTATAAATAATTCCTTCTTATTTGTAATTGACCACTCTCGAGCACTAAAAATTAGTCATAGAAAGTTACTATAAAAAGCACTGTTCATCGAAAGTTCGGTTCATAAACACATTCTACTATAAACAGTAGAACACATGTTCCGAAAAATATTTAAATATTTTTCCCATTTTATTATTAATATTTTTTTTTATTTTTCAATTTTAAAAATTTTCTAGATTTTCTTTTTAATTTTTAAAATTTTTAAAAGAATTTATAGAGCTCTTTTTTAGGTTTTTTATTTTAAAAAATTTTCTAATCTAAGTTTTTTCTTTTGTTTATTAAATTGTAAATAATTTTTCAAATGTTAATTTTTTGATTTTTACAGATACCTATTTATTATTTTCCTTGAGTATTTTATATTTTAAAATACTTTTTAACTTTTAACTTTTAATTTTTTAGTAATTGTTTTATTGCTCAAACTTCTGCTTTTAATTTTTTATAAAAGTTTTAATTTTATAGTTTTAAGTGTTTTATTTTCTGTGCTTAAAAATTTTTCTTTTAACTCATAAAAAAAATAAGAAATGAAAATAAAACCTAATCTGTATCATCTCATGTAGCAATCGCGGTGTATTTCTGCCGCAAAAATGATCACACTCGGGCAAAACAATGCGGCTCAGCTACGCGTAACTGTGACCTTTTCACCATAACTACGCGTAACTGCGATTTTTTCATCGTAGTTACGCGTAACTATGTCGTAATTTTCCGCAATTACGGGTCGCAGTGCGATCGCAGTTACGCCGCTGTTTCATTGTAATGAAACATGGGTATTGAATAGCATACGTAATAGTTCTGTGGACTTTTACTAGAAAAATGTCAACATATCGGAATCCCGTAAAACAATGAGTTACTACAGGTGATTACAGTAATAGAATCTGCAGAAGAAAAAAAGAATATCTCTAGAAAAACACACCACTTGATATTCATATTGTTATTTTCCGGGAAATACTTTGTTTTCAATAAAAAGTTGAGAAAAAGAAATATGAGTAATCATTTAAAAAGAATTATTTGAAAAGCGCACAAGTTTTCTTCCAAAACTCGCAGGAATCTATTTTTAGCTGGGATAGACAGTCCACCAGTGTTTTACAGTTTCTTTGATTTTCTTGTTCGTTAATAATTATTTTAATTCCAGTGAATAGCCAACAGCACAATATCATCCTTATCACGCGCGGAGAATACAATGTGTTGATTAATGCATTTGAACGCATTACACCCTCTTTATTTGAATTTAATTAAAATATTCAAACACCATTAGGGGTGGCACTTTGCGTTAATTTAATATTAAGTGTTAAGTAAAAACACTTAGTTAACTCTCTTAATTAACTCAAATTAAAATCAACGGTTCACCCCTAAACACCATGCATTTGTTTTATTGATGAAATAGGTAAAGTGAAACTATTATCAAATAGATTTTAAGAATGTATCCGAAAATTCGATTGAGCGTCGGAATTCAATTCTGACAGTTACAATATTTATCAAACCACTAGGATTTGTTAATAGAACTCGTACAAGAAAAGATTGTCATTCAATAGAAATATGTCCGAGCAATCGATACAATTTAGGTTATGCATTAGAGTTGTTCTGGTTCAGCACAACGAAATGAATTAAGGGCACATTTCGAAAAATTAATGAAAGCACGGCTTGATGCCATACTTCACAACAGATTGTTTTTGCTTTTTTTATTGGCGATGAATACTCAAACAAAGCAAAGAGAAAACTAAGAAATTACTGCATTCTCAGATAGTGTCACCTAATTCCATTTATGTTTAACATCACTGTTTTCTCCTCTGTAAACTCGAGTTTCTTATAAAATATGAAGCAATTGTTTTCATATAATACAAAAGCATGGATGAGTTGGCAGTAAACGCTATGTCGACAGATAACGATCTGGAAGTTTTTCAAGTAAGATCAAATATAAAAAGAAAACATTATTTATTATCATGATATGAATTCGTTTTGAGCTTCACATTGAAAATGAGGAATTAATTAAAGACGTTGAAAATTCAGAAGCTGGTATTGATTCTTATAGTTTAACAATATTAAAAAATTGATTGTTTTTTTATTGGTTAGTTGCTTGTGGATATTGTATTGTATCAAAGGTGACCTCTCCATTATTAATTACTGTCTTAGTTGTTACAATACTGGGTGCATCATGCGCAATCGGCTACTTTGTATCATATCCACGAAGTAAACTTTTTCCATAGGTTTACTGTGGTCATAAATGAATTTTTTTTCGTACAATAGTACCAAATAAATCACTAAAATTGTGTAATGAAAGTTGTAAAGTTTTAAATAGCGAATGTGACAGTAGTCGTGGATTATATTGTCCTGCTGATCTATGACAATGTAAGTTTGAGAAACTTCTTGTTTTTTATAGAGCTACATCGTTGTGTAAATTTTTATATATGTATGTAATTATGTTTTAGGTGGAACACAGAATTCATACTACAATGGTAGTAGCTGCATTTGCGCCAATTTAACACACTATGATAATCAAGGATGTGGTCTGTATTTCATCGTTTTTGTTCTGTTTTACTCTTTAATATAAACTTTTTCTTTTAGTTTCTGATCCTTTGCATGGTGATAGATGTAGTCCACCAGTCATAAACTGTCTTCCGAATTTTATGTAGTTCGTATATGTACATGTAATGAAATAACGCAAATTTATAATGGATCATATTGTGTCACGCAAAATTCATTCAAAGGTTCTTGTACAGAAGCATGCAACTGTTTAAATACGTCGAATTTATATTGCGCTTCGTACGTATTTTTAAAGTAGATCTCATTCATAAGTGAACATTTTTATACTGATTAGGAATCAATGTGAATGTGAAACAATTAATTATTGGAATCGAACTACTTGTGGTAGGAAATTGTATTGCTTTTCTTATTACTGAAAGATTTTTGTTCGCTATATTAGTATCAAAAGAGCTCGGCTGGCAAACATGTAATAATATAACATGGGGTGGTGATTGTAGGCCAAATTGGTTTTATGATGGTTTAGAATGTAGTATGTATTTATGTTCATATATATCTATATTTGTATAAAATAACTATTATTTTCTTCATTTAATATAGTTCAGCGAAAAAGTATTAATGGAACGTGTCTTGATACTTATGCATATGATTGCAACACACTACTTGTCTGTTTTTCCGGTCTTTGCTTATGGTTTGTATTTTGGTTTTTCAATGTAAACTAAAAGCAGCACTGATATATATATAGTTCGAATTTTGAGCACATCCTTTTGATTTCCTCCCCTTTGATGTGGCACTCTTCTGAGGAGCGTCTCAGCATAGATATGACAAATACACTATTTATGGATGGATGATCAAGGACGTGACAGGCAAGCTTAACAATAGTTCATTATAGATATCGTTGTAACAACACATAAAAGACGTCACCGCTATCTTTAGAAACGCCCATGTTCCCTCTGTTGTAGATCGTGATAAATCTTGTCGGTAAACTACTTGAGATCTTATAAAAAAAACAAAAACTCCCGCGCTATTACATGAATTATTTCCTCGTTTAATTTTAAAAGAAAAAATTCAAACATTGACGAAAAAATGCATCCCAAAATAGATAGTATTAAAATAGTTCCCTGTTGTTAGCAATAGTTACTAGATCATGCTTCATATATTATTCCCGTAAAGGTCATGCTATCAGCATTTCCTTGTCATTTTTCATATTTTTCACATTTATTAGTTGTAGCTTTTGCTTTTCTAGTCCAACACCAACAACATGGTCTGGTTCCAATTGTATTTGTTCAACTGGTCAGACTTGGACTCGTAATACTTATGTTGCCATTGGATAATGATAATGAACATAGAAAACAGTACTCCTTATTTTAACATCAAAGACTACGTAGGGATAAAATCTATTGTTGTTTTTTATAGTTTTGTATGAAAATTTCGATAATATTGCGTTTCAATATTTTCTCTGTACACTTCAATTAAATGATTTATGCACAAATATATGTACACATATTTCACCTAAAATCGAACAATAAAAAACTGATGCAAATTGTTAAATAGTTTAATCCAAGGAAAAAGAACATGAAGATTTTGATGAGTCGTTGTCAATTTTTGTTCTTGTCATCAATATCATTGAGTGGCTAAAGTAGCTGTCAAATGCATGAGAGCGACAACAACAGAAGTGACGTCTTTGCTACTTCTTCTTCTTCTTCTTCTTCTTTTCTTTCCTTTTTTCAGACTCGTGGTTATTTTTATTTTTTTTTATTTTTTTTTCTGTTTTTATTATAGTCAGCGATGTTTCTTTGGCACAGGGAATGACATGATCGTTCTATAATGTGCTGTTCAGAGAACGCACTTTGGAAAGAAGCAAAAAGAATGAAAGACAAGCATCGTGTTCTTCTTTCTTATTTTTATGTGTAGACATGTGTCTAACTAAAACTGAGGGTGAAAAGCGAGATACTGAAAACTCACCGGCGGCAGCATCAACTGGCTATTAACCGTCGTTGTTGATGAGCAACGAGCCAGTGAGTGTGTGGTAAAGACGTAAGACAAGGGAGGAAAAAATTCAGTAGATGAGTATCTGGCGATGCCATTGATGATGGATTCGAGTATTGACAGCTTAATTGTATAGAACAATCTTCACTAGACAGACCAAACATTAAGAAGACGTCTAAGTTGTCTTTTCTTTGTTCTGATTCAATAGAGATACATATACAGATAAAGAGAAAGAATAAAACAGAAATATACATGGAAAAACGCATAGATATTGTTTATTGTTCTTAGCCATTGTTTTATCCTATCATACATATATATATATTTTTTACACCGCTGACATTATTCGTGGTAAGAAAAGCAATACGAAGAAACAAAAGAGACAAATAATTTCGAACAAATTAAATTTACTCAATAAAGCTAGAAAAATTAGACGCATAAAATAATTAGAATCAGACACACATACATACAATCGCTATATTGTATACAATGATATATTGCTAGTCAATTGTCACAAAAGCTTTTAGAGCTCACGTATTATAAAGAGCAAATAGAGCAAAAGTTCCTTCATTGTTGATAGAATTGATAAATTGTGTGCCAGAAAGAATCAAGCATTAGCAGACTGACTATCATACGCCTCTAACTCATATATTGCTCATTCATGAGTAATTCAAAATTGTGCTTTTCTTGTTCAATTACTATATATATATATATTCCCTCATTTTGTACTATTTGACGACGACAACTCTATCCATCTTACTCTTTATAAGATAGTTTCTGTCTATGTTTCTACATACCATTGCAAATGATCTACGAATTTTCTCGTACTATTCGATGCGCTAGAATGGCCTTGATCGAATCAAACTTCTATTATTGCAGTTAGCAACTTTTTCCCCTTTTCTGTTTCTTTCTATCACTAATTCTTGACAATTACATATGTGTTCCCGTTGTTTTCTTCTGTATTTCACTCTCCATTACTCATAATGACTATTGATCAGCCGAAATACTCAGTAAGGAGTACTACAAGAATTAATCTATCACCGTCCGCTTTTGCTATCTAATCTTCTGGAACTAACGTCTGGTTGAACTGTTCTAGCTCATTTGTGAATATTAGTACCATAGAACATACATATATATATATATAAAGAGAATAACGAACAATAATGATGATCTGAAATACGTGCTCACTATGTTCTAGATTTGTGCTGATAAGAATGGGGACACAACGACGATGTTGAGCTGTCAAAAACAGGAAACATGTCTATCAGTTTGTCTTCCATCAAGCCAATTTATTATGGTCGCTGTTGTATATCGTTGAACGGCACCCTTAAATTTCTTCAAGGTGAGTAAATAAAATATGTAATTTCTGTTATTATGACTCAGAAAAAGAAAAGAAGATGAAGAGAATTTTACGTTTCAATAATTAATTTAAAAAAATGAAACCTCGTTGAGATTTGAGTGTTTTTTCTGTTAGCTTGAGGAATCTCCTCGCAACGATGTTATTGATATCTCTTTTTTTTTTGTTCTTTGAAATAGGAATTTTTCAAGCATTATGTAGATGACTGAACGTCTATATCAAATGGTAAATCGAGGTTGTTTTTCTCTTCTTTATATTCATCAGTCTTTTTTTTTTATCTATGACAATTTTTTTCCTCTCTCGTCCATGTTGATTATCATTATTTGTAAATGGAGATTAGTCGAAGAACATGCAGCCGAGTAGTTAACTAAAAACAAAAACGAAGAAAAACCTATCGTGATATGTTTAAATAGTGAAAGGCATGTTTTTATGAAAAAAAAAAGTAATAAAATAGTGTACGCTCCCGTTTTCTTCCCAGGAACAAAAGACGTCAACAAAGTTATTTCCACGGCGTATATATAATCATTTCTTTATTTGACTAAACCGAGTAGAAAGCTAGAATGTTTTTCAATCTAGGAAATAATGCAACCGGACACTCGATGGGCTCAATCCGTCGTGTCTGACTTAGTTACTACCCCGCTGGATGCTAATCATCATACATACGATATCGAAAAAAAACAATTATCTACTGCTTCTATACCTTCGTCAACATCGCAACCACAATTAGTAACAACAACAAGTTTTTTTCCACCACAACGTGTCGAACCAATTGATATGCCACGTTCACAACAAACAGCAACACAACATCGTACTAAAACAGGTTATACTCAATCAGCAACAACCGATGAACAACTAACAACAGCAATTTATTACCAACAAAATAGACCTATGAAACGTATTATACATCCTGCTGATCGTTCATCAGTTATTGTCATTTTACAAGCTATGTCAACTATTATATTCGCAATCTTTATTTCGTTTCCATGCATCATATTATTAGCACTTCTATTACCAATATGTTGGCTCGTACGAACAAGTGCACGATTAATCTGTCGACATCAATGTACTGTAACGCCATGTGCTTGTAATTATCTATCTTCAAGTGATCTATTCTGGTTTTATAATAGTAATGCATCAACAAATCAAACTAAAACCGATGATGAAACAAATAAACTAAACTCTCAAACTATATCACCAATAGGAGCAGCTATTTTTTTTCTTGAAGGTAAATTGCAAAAGAAAAAGAGAAAGAAAATTTGATTTATAAAAACAAATTACCCTCTATCTAGGAACAGTAAATGAAAATTCATTAAAAAAACTATTAGTTCATCGTCTTATAACAGCGAGTATTCGACGTGGTTCAAATATGGGACGAAAATTATTTCCACGATTTTCTCAATTAGTTATTTCCCGTTTTTCTGGTAGAATGTGGAGTGATTATTCACAATTTTCTATTGATGAACATGTACATGAAATACCACATAATATTCAATCGGATGAAGAAATTCAAACATATCTATCAACATTATTATCAACAGAATTACCACTTAATCGTCCTCTCTGGCGATTATATTATAAAAATCGTCTTACACTACGTCCAAATGATAGTATACTCATTTTTTTATATCACCCTGTTTTATCTGATGGAATATCCTTATTACGTATTTTATTAAAACATGCTGTTGATAATCGTACAACACAATTAGATATAAAACCACGTTTTGCTGGTAGAAATCGTGAAAATATGATATTTGATTATATAAAAGCATATCTATTTGGACATAAACTTATATTCAGTAAATTATTATCCCGTCTATCGAAAGAAAATTTTTTTAAGCGAACGTTAAATAAAAATGATAATATATCAACGAGGAATTCTCAATCACAACAACAACCACGAAGAGTTGTTGTGTGGTCAGCTCCGTTTAGTTTGACACAAGTGAATCGAATGAAATTGGTTACGAGAACACGTTTAAATACACTTCTTTCAACAATAGTTATTTCTACTGTGAAATTATACATGGAAAAATATGGGTAAATTTTGTTTATTTCTAATGAATAGACATTTAAAAGAAAAAAACTCGACATTTTTCAGTTGAACGAAATAAAAACTAATTGCTTTTTTTTGTATAGTTTAACTCGCAGGAAATCCTATTTAGAGATACCGTTGTTTTTTTTTTACTTCATTGAGCTTTTATCTTTTCATTTTTTTTCTTTCTTCTATTATCATTTCATAGTTTATCAAATCCGCCAAATATGAACTGCGTAATGCCTTGTGATCTTCGATCTAATACGGCCAATATAGTTATGGGAAATCAATTATCACATCTATGCATCGAGTTGCCTATGGATATTGAAGGTAACATTCCACTCCTATGGTCATTTAATGATAGTGCTAAGCGCTTCAAAGAAAATCGAGATTATGCAACTATGCATTTATTCACACATATCACTTATCTTCTATTTCCATATTGCTTGGGTATGTTTACATTATAAAAATAAATATGCATTTCAATAGGAGACATTCGTTATTTTTTAGCTAATAGAATAATATCTCGTATTTACAATAGTGCTAGTTTATGGTTAACATCAATCGCTGTCGGGAATAGTGCAGCACTAGCAACAATATCAGTATGCAATCGTGATGTACGAAATTTAATATGTTTTAGTCCAAGTATTGGTACAGCTAATATTAATTTTTGTATTACAACATATGCTGATGATATTCGTCTTGCTGTTATTGCGGATCCAAATATTGTACCTAATCCAAATTATTTTACTGAATGTTTTATTCAACAAGTAAAAGAAAATTAAACAGAAAATCTTTCATTTTCGATGTATTTATCTGATATCATCTGTGTAGTTAACTGTTGTCCAAGATCTTCTTGCTCATCGACGAATTCCAGGTGAAATTCGTCGAATAACTCGACCACCAAGAATACAACCACAAAAGCAAAGTATCAGTAGTATATCTGATATGCCTGATGATTTATCCATAGAAGAAGTAAGAAAAATAGATAGTATTTTTGTATTTAAAAAAATAATAACCTTGCTATGATTATCTCACTTGTTTAGATTCAAGCAAAAATGGCAACATTACAACAGGAATTACTCTCATTGAAAAGTCAATTCGAAAATGTTGATATGACTGATCCATCATGTCAATCTCAACGTTTAATAATAACAACAAAATTAGAAGAATTAAGACGAGAATTTCGTGAGTTACTTATTAAATTACAGGAACGTCAATGTGAACTATCGGGTATGATACCAAGCGATGAAGAAGACGAAATGGATCCACATGTTCGCGTACGTTTACGATCGGCAAGTGTTGCGTCAAGAATTTCTCTAAAATCAAACGATCAAAGACAAATATCAACAAAGTAAAATGTATACAATAAATTATTTTATTTCATATCTTTTTCCATTCTTCAGAATGTACCAATTAGAAAGAGATGACGGAACTGAGCTTACTGCCACTGTTATTCAAAAAGCTCCTAACCATCAATAATGAGTTTAACAGTACAGCAAATAGTAAGAAATTTCTTTTTTCTTTACATTTACTTTTTTTTACCATAATAATTATAATCATAGGATCGACAAGTTGGCATGCGTCGTGCGCAGTCAGTAAGTATTTGTGACAATACTCAGCGAGATACACAATCACGAATATCATTGAATCGTCCACCACCAATAACAGCAACCATATCTCCCAGAACACTAGAGATAACAACGAATACTAATTTTCATCTAGATTCGAATGAAAGTTAGAAGAATGGAAACTAATGTATGGATATATATATATATGTTTTCATTCTTGCTCAATTTATTTTTACTTTCATTGTACATATAAATAAACCGATTGACTGTAAACAGTTAGGTTTTTATTTTGCAGTGCATCTGATTGTTTTTTTTCTTCTTGTTGTCTCGTTCTGCTTATTTTTTTTTGTTTTCCCGTTATAATTTATCGTTTTATTTACGCTAATTAATAAAAAGAAAAAACAAACCGGAAGCAAGAAAATATAATTAGACGCATGAATCTTGGGCAGGATTATACAGCTGACATATTACGATAGATACGCAGCAATGAAAAATATGTAGCGATTGCGTGCCTCTCATAATACGTATTTTTTGTTTCAGTTGATTGAATACTTTTAGGAAAGCATGAAAAACTTATTAAGCATCGTCCTTTTTTACTCATTTCAGCAAGGAAACAATTTTCATAGCTATTTTGATGTAAAATTCATAAGCTATAAAATGTTGTTGAAATAACTAGCAACATAATAAGCCTGATTATGACTTATTTGCTTGAAAGAGGATGTAAGAGAAAATACTTCGTAAAAGAAAGTATGCATACCGTGAGAGATAATCCAAATTTTCATAGTAGTTTCTATTGAAAATCAAACAGAATAATTGCTGAATCTTACTGGAATCCAGATTGTTTCCTCTGTTCTTTATACTAAAAAAATTCTATGTCGCCATCGATCAGCTGATCGAAATCAGGAAAGAAAAACAATAATCAGTGGTAATTGTAAAATTCATTATTTGAAGTATATTTAAAGACAGTATTGTTTTTCATGAGTACTTTCGATTTATTGTTCAGTTTTCATTTTGATTCGTTCTAGTGAATTGAAAATAAAATCTAAAATTTGTTGCTATCTTTATTTTTTCATGCATAACTTCCTGTAAGACAATATGGCCTTTTATTCAAGATCGAAGATAGGGCATTATCAATGCAATCATGATGTTTTCATTTGACTGTTGAGTAACTAGGATGTGAGTTCTCTATTTCCGTAATTATCGTGTTAGGAAATATGAACTTTTGATGCATATATCCTGATGATAAAGTAGTTTTCTGAAGGATCATTAAAATGCTGAACTTCGCACTGGATTGGTAACTTCAGAAAAATGTATTGTTATTATTTTGCATTCTTAATCAAGATCACATCGGATAAGTATGGCTATTGGAAACAAAGCACCAATCAGTCCTTGTTTATACGTCTTATAATAAGAATGTATTTTAGAAATACCAAATCGTATAGAAATAATCTCTTCCATAAAAATATATTATTCCGGTACGTTTTGTAGTATCTATCACGTGTTACTCCCTCTTTGTTTCCAGAATATAATAAAGCCTACTTGTAATGCATTGTCGTAAATCATTTCATTTGTCAACTGATACCAAGGATTAACAAACAATTTTGTATCTATTGATTCATTAGATGTGATGTTACATATCATTGAATTGTGAAAAATAATCGATATTAATATAATTTTCTATGAGATAAAAGCTCAAGAAGAAAAAAACTATTTTCTAAGTGATACCTAAATTAATAATACAAAGGATGATACTATCAATAAATATAGTGATTCTCTGCTTAGTAACATGTTTTAGTTATGTTAATGGTGAAGACAAGAGTGAATTTATTATTGATCTAACTCTGCTAATTAATTCACCTGGAAGTATTCGTCATCCTGAGAACTTTGAAAAAGCCAAACAAGCATTACACAATAGTGTCAATTGGCTTAACGTTGGTGTTTTAAAAAAGCTGGTGTAGCTCTTATAAATTTTGCATTAAATGTATCACTTGTTGATGCTCAAAGTAGAGTATTTGAATTTCAAAAAAAACAGTCCTAGTCAACAATATTGCTGCACTTTAACGAATTTGTGTAGGAAAAGCTACTGGAAAAGCTTTAATTTTGGCTAAGAAATATGGCGAAATAAATTGTTGAGCTTTAAGTGAAAGAGTTCCACGTGTTTTTGTTATATTCACTGATGGTCATAGTAATACAGGTCCAGCAGGAATGCCTGCTACTCAAGCACTACGTGATACACTAATTGAAGGCAGTGCTTTTGCTACAGGTATAGGAAACATTGGTCAACAAGGTGAACAAGAATTAACTGCCATTGCTGGTATTACCGGCAATGTTTTGAGCATTGCTTCTTACAGTGATTTGATTTGTGCAGCGAATGCTATTGCAATACAAATATGTGATTATCCAGCTTCTATCGAACCTAATGTAAGAACTCAAGTTGAAGTAACAGGAAATATAACTCAATATTATAAAATACACACATCAAACAAAGTGGCTAAAAATACGTTTTTTGAAATCGAGATAAATGATATAGAAGGACAAGTAAGTTTATCAATAACTATTCGTTTAGAAGAGAGAAAAAAAGAAATTTTTTTTTTAAATTTTAGTCTATTGTACATACGTCGAGAACCGATGGAAAACCAAAATCATTTGCATCAAAAAGTAATAGTAAACGAACTGTAAGAAGCAACGTCTACACAACATGCGTACCAGCAGATCCACAACATGCCTATTTCAGTGTTCAAATCGTTAAATCAAAAATGTGCAAATCGAATTTTATTGTCCGTGTAAATTCGTTTGATTCTTAAAACAGTACATTTAGTTCATAGAATTAATTAAAAGAATAATTCTCCGATGATATTCGAGGACCTATTAAGTACTATTGTAGAAAGAAGGGAAAAAGAATTCAAAATTTTATTATGTTAAAAACGACAAGTGTTTATTATCATGTCAATGGAAACGTATGCGTCATATAACTCATTGAATGTAGTAATGAAATCAATTATGGAAATTGAATATTGCAAAAGCATCTAGAAATAGAAGATACGCAAAGCTTAGTTCTCTTTTTTTTTCGTATTCATTTGTTGTCTGTTAATCCGACCAAAATAAATCACTTGTTTTTGTTATTTCTTCTAGACAATTTTACTGCAAAATAAATAATAGTAAAAAGAGAACTAACATTGCGTGTACTCTTTAACGTGTTCTACTTCTATTACTTTCTTCTTAGGTTCGCTTAGTGGTAAGGATACATGTTTCGAAGAAAGATCAATTGTATGACTCTCCCTATCAGAAATACAACAATTTCGTAATGGTTCCGACCAAATGAATCGCTAAAAATGATCTTCTTACTTACTTATACGAGTAGAGGTGTAAGCCGAGCGGCTGAGCCGCCACCGCCAATGTTTAGCGAAAAAATCCAGCTGCCACCGATGAATCAAAAGAATTTTTAATCTTCGCACCGTCGCTGCCATCAGACCAAAACAATTCTTAATTTTTAAGCCGCAGCCGCCGTCATATAAGCAGAAATACGAAATTTTTGAATATGTTCGATACTCAGAAACAGTATTTTGGATTCTTCTGATCTAGCTGTTAATAAGAACGTTCTATATTATCATTTTCCCCTTTTTTGTTACATACTTCTCAAAACTACGAAATTTTTTTAAAATAGCATCTAAAAATTTTGATTCGCCGCCGCCGGTGAACCAAAAAAAAATTTATTTTTGAGCCGTCGCCGTCGCCAATGGGCGAAAAATTTTTAAATTGTTGAGTCGTCGCCACTAACCGAGGCGTTGGCTTACACTTCTATATACGAGTGCTCTAGAAAAAGCTAATATTAGAAATTGATTTTTACAAATTTCAACTTGAAGATTTATTTCCTAAAATCATATTCAATCACAAAAAAAAACAATTACTTACATAAATCAATTATCGGATATATTGCTTAAATTTTCAGTTGAACTTTTGCATTGAAGCAGACAGCGGTTTGTGTGTTGAGTTTCTTGCAGAAATCTCATTGTCGATGTCAGTTTAGGATTGTGGCATAGGAATTTTATTGTCATGTTAGGTTCTCTTTGTATTGGCTTGATAATATACTAATTCGAAACATAGAAAGAAGCAATATTAAGTTAATTACTGTCTTATACTGATGATCGTTAAAAGTTTTTTTCACCAAATGAGACATGTATGTGCTATATTTGAAAGTACAGTTCTTTTTGTTCTTACTATTAATAATTGTTTTTTTTTACGGCCGGAGAATCTATTCTGTTTTATGAAGAAGTAAGCAATAATTGGAAAAGATTAATATTCGAAACGAGAAACTTTAACGCCATAATTCTACAATAATACTCTACATGTCATTTTACAATTTTTAGAATTCATCAAATTTTAAGATCTAGATAATAATCGTTCTCATCGGCAAACAATTCTATTAAGTTAAACTCTACTATTCATTGGCTACGGATTACTGAATCTGATTCTTCTAAGTTTTGATTCTATGCCTTTGTTTCATCGAAATTTTATGAAGACAATGAAATTTAAAAAAATCATTTCTATTTGCAGTCGATCTAAACTACAATAAGTCCATCTATAATGAATAGAAATTAGTATCAATGGGAATTTTCTTTAACTATATTTCTATATAAAAAACAATTTCGTAGTCTTATTTTTATATACTGATTCGCAAAATTTATATCATTCGATCGAAGAAATAAATCTCTAAAAAAATGAATCAATGAATATACTCTTGCCAAGGTTGTTTCTTCTCTTGTCACGCTTATTATTGAAAGAAATATATCATGCGCAAATGAAAAATTAATATATGTAATAACCTTGCATATATTTATAGGTCATTTGCAAGAAGAAGTTACATATGTTTAGATGAAAACTGAGAACGATATACGAGTTGTAGTTATTGGTCATCTTGACGATGAACAATCTATTGAACCAATCAATGAGAAATTAAATGAATATAAAATTCGTCTTAATGAACAATTAAAAACAATTCCTGAATTATATTCACAAGATGATGATCCCGATTCAGAATATATCGATGGTTTTCGAATGAAATCTCGTTTTATTAAATCAAATCATCTGTTATCATTTACTAAAGAACAAGATCGCCTTATTGAAATAACAGAACCAACACGACGTCAATCCTATATTGATATTCATAAGCATTATCCAATAGGTTCATTTGATTTATGGATATTATCGGCTCGTTTAGAGCATGAATCAATGTCTGTAGATAATTGGTGGCGAGCTTATAAAACATTAACAGCACCATCAAAAATGAATAGTAAAGAAGAACAGATTCAATTATGTTGTGCGCCTGCTTTTAATCTACCTTTACCAAAACAGATTGCACGTCAAGCAGCTTGTTTAATAAAATTCTATGAGATGTTTAAAGCAAGTGTATTTTTAAGTGATCGGTCATCATCATCAACAAGTTTTTTATCAAGTATAAGTCATATTATTCCAGCTATACAATTATCATTTCGTCCTAAAATTCTTCAATGGTTTGATGAAAGAATTCACAATCATCAACGTTTAAAATATCTTTTAGATTCTAATTGTTTATGTCTAGTTGCTTGTGGATCGAAAAAGACTACATTTCGATATGATTTTTCACTGATTGAACTAAAGATTTTTAATCAATTCAATACAAGTGAATGTCAATTGAATATATTTGTAAAACGATTTGCTGTTAAATATTTAAACTGTTCATTAGATAATTCTTTTCTTCGTACAAGCATTTTATGGATATGTGAAATTCATGATCTTGAAAATTATCATAATATATTTGAAGTTTGGGTATCATTTATGCGTGATGTATGTCGAAAACGTTATTTAGCACATTATTTTCTTGAAAATACGAATATTTTTGAAGAATATGCTGGTTTAGAAGATACAATTAGTACTTTAAATTATAAAAATATTGATCTATTTATTGACAAACTTGAAGAAAATCTTATTTTTCCTTATGTCTATCAATATAATGAACGGATGAAAAATTTATTAGAATTTTTCAACAATCTTCCTGTTATAGCTGTCAAAATGAAAACGATCTATAATGTTATTGTTAAATCACAATTTCCTCGTGCTAACAATTCCCTACATGAAATATGTAGCCTACTTTGTCATTTATCATTTTTAGAAGACGACGATAAAGATCATATAATTAGTTTTTGGGATCAACAATGGAGAAAATTATTTATTGATTTCGACCGAGATGATATTGTGCTTCAACAACGACTTGTCGACTATCGCCCAAATCAATTAGCACAACACATGACAGAAAGTGTTTTGAAACTTATTCAAATAGATTTAATTCAAATGATTAATTTAATAAAATCAAATATGTAATAAAGAAAAAGAAAGCAACAACAACAACAACAACAGCAGCAACGACAACAACAATAGGACAAGACTAGACTAGTTGGTGCAAAATAAAAATGATATCACATTTGAAAGGAAAATGAAAATTTATATTTTTATTGAATCTACTCATTTCGAGATTCAGCTAATTTTAATATAATTTGAACATATTTTTGTGTTTTATCAAAATATGTTTTTGCTTCTTCTTCATAATTTTTTTGTGTTTTCTAAACAAAAGGTGATTTTATAACTATAAGAATGTTTTCTTCAACTATTGAATAATTACTTTCGTTTGCGATTCATTATCATCAATATTATCAGTATTTTTAAGTAATGAGGAGGAAAATGTTTCAATACGTTTCAATGCGCCATACATTGCTGTATCAAGACATTTAATGCCAACCTATAAGTACAATATGATTATTATTTTATGATATTTTCATGAAGAAAATTTACAAGAAAATCTGCTTTTGTATTTATATTAAATAATGGTGCTAATCGTGAAAGAGGTTCCCATAAGTTGTTAATTTGACGCATGATTTCCAATGAAATTTCAAGGCATCTTTGTAAACAACGATTTTCAGTTATTTGTTTGCTATAAGAAAAGAATATATAAAAATTATTCATGTGTACCAGCAAGTTTTCATAGTTCTGGTTGTAACCTCGATGAATCTAATATATTTTCAGTGTAGAGAAATTTATTAAAGAACTTTATTCGTATCACATAGACAGGATTTCTTTAAAATACTTGTCTTATTTTTCATTGGATTTCCAGCAATTTTTATTTATCTTCTTTCTTGCGTCCTAATCTTGAGATAAATTACGTTCAGATTGAGTACAATTTTTGTCTATTGATAATTCTCGATGTATCCTTTTTCAAAAACCAAGATTCTCTCTTAATAACGTCAGATGTTATCAGAATTGCCCGCTGTAGTTTTTTCCCGATTTTAAACTTACAAATGTCTTTCTTCTTCATTAGTTTCTGTCATTTTTTGCACTGTCATATATGCATTCAGAAGTTCCGTATCAGTATCCACTGTTTCCATTAATGTTTTGGTGGCTGTATGTAATGGTGCAATAATTGCTCGCATTTCTGGTTCTAATGTTTCCCACTAATGAGTAAAAGAGGAAAAAAAAGGAATTAAATATATTTAAATGTTTTACTTTTCTCATTCCATATGTAAGTAATGCACACATTGTGCCAAGTGCTGTGCCAAGTGTTGCTACAAGGGCTGTAACACAACTACCACCAGGTACTAATGCTCGCGCACTAACATGTTTAACTAATTCTTTTATTTCCATTGAATTAATCGTATCGTCACGACCTTCACGATCGCGTATAATATATTCAATGATACGTTCTTTGGGTACGAACGGTGCTATAGAATTTAAACCTAAGCGTTGAATAACTAAACGAAGTTTTTGATCTTCATCAAGAATAAATAAATTTTCTTTTTGAATAAAATAATCTGCAGCCATTAATAATGGTCTCAATGGTACAAGACCAACTATTTGTGAACCACATAAACCGATATTCAACGATTCAGCTTCGGCTACACATTGTAAATACGCTGCATGTATATTTGTTATTTCAAAATCTGTTAAATTAAGTGAAATTTGAGATAAGTTTGCTTCTTCAAGCCACCAACCGAGACCTCGTACAGATTTTAATTTACCGGGCTACGCAACAAAACGAAAATTGATTTCTTTATTATATTCTGAGTTATTTTGTTTTAATATTTTTACTTCTTCTTTGCTTCGTCCTTCTTCACGAACATTTAATGCAATACGATGAGCTTGTTCTTTTGTGCCAAGTAAATTGATATTGTATGCAATTAAAAATTTTCGTGCACCAACACATGTTGCGCCCCATGTCGGAAGGAATTCAATTGGTCCTATTTAATAGTTATTTATTTATTTATATATATATAGAAAAAGAAATTGAAATCTTACCAAAATCAGGTTTCCATTCTGATTTTCGAATCTAAATAGAATTGAATAAAAAATAAACTAATTAGAGGTTAAAACTTCAAACACGATTAATGTAGATTTATTGTTGTAAATAAAGGATTTATGTGAAGTACGATTCACTTTTCATTGTTTGGCGCTTCAAAAAATCCAATATGAAAGGTTTTATATGTTATCTACCAAGATGATGATTACTGATGTCATGATAACCAGCGGCGATAATGTACTTTAGTATCTGATCATACAGTCTATACTTAAACCAAGTTGAAAATTAATGTTTGGTAGACTCAGTATTGCACTCTAACTTTAGTGTATCCTTCATACAGCGCCTACTAACTGACAAGGAAAAAGCACAGAAATTTTCGATTGTGTTCATTTGTGCTGAGGGGCTTCAAAATATTCAAAGACGGAGATATCTTAAATTTAGTTATGTTTTTATAATAGTCCTATATAATGCGGGGGTTCTGCGTAGAAATCTAATACACGCTGCGATTGTCAACGCCCTTTCTACGATGTGCATTATGAACTAAACAAGGAAAAGTTGTTCAGATTTCTATCTGAATACTCCAACAGTTGTTCTAGATCATGTTTGACAACACTTTACTTTGCTATATAGTGCTTCATATTCTCCTTCACGAATTTGAGATAGATCTCGACGATATTCTTGTTCTTGTGCTTCGCCATATAGATAAACAGGTACGCTAAGTTCCATAGATAAACGATCAGCAAATTCACGTGCTATCTCGATACAATCAGCCATAGTAGCATTTTGTACCGGTACAAATGGTACTACATCCTAACACAAAATGAATAGAGAAATAAATTTAATACATCAATCTAAGAAAATTGTTTTCCTATGTAGTCAGATTCATAGGTAATATTCATTGCTCTTTCCTAGTGAATAAATCAATCACAACTTACCATTGCACCGATTCGTGGATGTTCGCCACTATGTTTTGTCATATCAATTAAATTGTACGCAGCTCGACCAGCAGCTAGTGCTGCTTCAATAACTGCTTGTGGATGCCCAACAAAGGCTAAAAATACAAGAGACAAATAAATTCATTGAATGTAATTATTTATTTATTTTTACTATAAATTGTTCGATTGGTTGACAATCCTGGATCAATATCCAGTAAAGCAACACCTTCAACACCTGCAATAGCATGCGCAATTGTGTCAATAACCTATAAAAAATATAATCATATGGTTGACCTGAATGAAATTTATCAATTACCTCTTTTCGTTGGCCTTCGGAAAAATTTGGTACACATTCAATAACTTTTTGCATATCGTTTATTAATAAACTTTAATACAACAAAGAAAGGAAAATAGGTAAAGAAATATAGCAGCTGATGGTGTTACTTTTTGCTGTTGAATTTTTTCCTTTTTTTATTTCCCCTTTTCTGTTGTCGATTGACAAAGACGTCTATGAAATATACACAATAGTTTCTTTTACTTTTCTGTCGCGTATTACTATGAATCCACAGTTGACGAGAAAGGAAGCTGTACACCCGATGAAAGAACTATGTCACAATAGTTGCCAAGTTGCTTTTCACTTTTTTATTTTCTCTCCCTTTCTCCCTCTATTTTGCTCACCACCATTAAAATCATCATCATTTTGTTCATGAATGAGAACGCCATAATAACGCTAAAGTAAGAACATTTTTTTTATCGAAGTAAAAATATAAAAGAAAAGAAACAGGGAAAGCAACTGCTGACAATTATTGCTTAGAGACGGGTGCTTTTATTACTTTAAAGTATAGGAAAATAACATTTCTTTCATTAAAACTTCCGAGTTAAAAAAAGAAGGAAAGCATTAAATTATAGATAATGTTCATAGTTTTATTAATTTAACGGGCATCTATAATTTCTAAACGATCAACCATTCTTGCTTTCAAATATTTTAGTTTTTAATAGCATACTGGAAAATATTATACTCACGTTTGAAAGATTTTCAGTCAGAACCGATAGAATACTGTTTAATTTCCTTTGAATACGATTTAATAAAAATTTCATTCGATGTATATTACAAACAAGCAAATATGGTGATAGAATTACATCTATTGTATTTCTTTCGTCTAAGAGTAATGTTTGTCTTTTATTTTCAATATGACATAGATGACAATGAATAAAATATGTACCCGTTTTTCCTTTTTGTTAAAAGAATATCAATAGAATATAATGGATTCATTCAAGTATCCATTATGCAATCAAGTTAAATTGACTAACTTTCATATCGCTAAGTTACATCATTACTTTAAAGAACGATTGCTTATCTATTTTTTGTAATTTGAAACAAATTTTTTTTTAATTGTGAAAGACATTACAAGGTTTATACTTTGATTTCTTTTTCAATTATCAACAGAACAGATGAATTTTGTTGTTCTGTATTCAATGATTTAAAAAACCATATAACGAGACAACTTATAATAGCAACAAGAGTTCTATTCAACACGAACAAATGAAACTTTTTTCTCTACTATTTATGTGCATGTGCTCAATTTATGCTGCCACGGTTGGAAAATATGCCCGTTGGTTGAAATTAAATTGTAAGGAACAATTAGGTATATCAGGAAAACTAAAGAAAAGCTTGAAATACAAATGAATTTTTTTAGCGAGAAAGCTATTTCTGCATTCAACTGTTAAAATGATGTTAATAAAAAGGTGATGAATCATTCCGTACTCGTATCGGCTAGAAAAGTTTGCCGTTAGTAAAGGCTGCTGTTCAGCACTGTTGATTTTAGGCCAAAGAATAAATCTCAATGAAATACTTATGTATCGATAAATAAAGACTCTAGTGTGACAAGTGTATCGAAAGAAATAACAATCCAAAAAAAAACATAACTGGTAATATTTTATTTCTTCCAATTATGTATCTGTATCATGTATTGCTAAATAATCGTAATGGTATAGAAATTCCTTTCATAATAAATTAAGTTCAATATTTTATAAGGAATGTTGTGTTGTCTCTATTACTCGGACGAATAAATATCATATCTGTTCTTCAGCACTCAATATAGTTCGATTTTATACAAAGATACTTATGTAATTATTAAATATTCAAATTTAGTTTAATTTTAAAAATATTTTAGTCTCTAGATCAGTTATTTTCAAAGGCGAATCGCAACAGAAAATATTAATAATCATGAATGATAGCTTATCTTTTAAACCAATTCAGACATTGCTAAGTATTCGAATGATTTCTTAATGTATTGAAGCAATAATGGAAGTACATTAATCATTGATTAAAATTTCGATTCGTTCAATGCTGCATTTCAATCTGTGTAGCTTCATCATCAATAAGTCTGAAGATCCTTCTGTTGACTTACCTCAACTTTCTTTTTGTGTACTCAAAAATTAAGTACACTAGAATCGGTCAGTGTGTCCGTCCGTCCGTCCGTAGGCACGATAACTTTCGAAAGGAGAGTCAGATCGTGATGAAATTTTCCACACAGTTCAATCTCATGAATATTTCGGTCGAGTTCGAAGATGAGAAGGATCCGTCAAGAAATGGTTGAGTTATCGAAAAAATTGTCATTTTTGACCAGACCATCCCTGAGGAGGAGTACAGGGATTTGTTTTCAAAAAACAAATTTTTCTCAGAATTATTCACAACATATATAAATCGACCCAGTTTTTAACGCTGATTCCGAATCTGACATTAGTTTTGAACGAAACCGTAGCTTTTTAACGAAACATCGCCTGAGAAACGTCTCAAAATGCACAAAAACTGCATCCAGAAATCAAATTGCCTAGTTTCTCATGATAATTTTTGTGTTCAGACATTCTAGAATGACTCATATGTCCCATGCACTTTTTGCAGTACACATAACGCTCGGATGAAATCCGAAGTTTCCACATTTTTTAATAAATATCTATAAATTGCGAAGATGAAGATCGCACTCATGCGTTCGAATTCCATCGATGTTAACTTAATTGCTCGCGGCAGTCAAGTAAAGAAATGTTCGAGGAATTTCCTTTGAACAATTATTGTCATAGAAGTACGACAGATATGTACGTTTTTTTATTCTTTACAAAAGCAACAAATAGAACAAGTCAATGAGAGAGAGAGAGAGCGAGCGAGAAAAAAATGATATTATGAAGTGTTCCATTCGATGGCTTTACAAAATTCTTCTTCAGCGAATTGAAGCATTTTTGATGCTTCTAAATGAAGCTAAAATAAAGAAATAAAAACTAGAAAATAAATATTAATAAGTTTATTTTTGAAAAAACCTTTTGTTTTTTAAGTATGTCAATTAATTTTAATTGCCGTTTAAATGCATTCATTAATTCCAAGCGTTGTTTTTCTAATCGGCGATTTTCATTTGTTAATTGTTCAATCTTCTTTTTATCTTGTTCGTTTATATCTTTTGTTGATTGCTGCATTTTATTCAATTGTTGTTTATATCTTTCAGCTTCTTCTAATGCTCGATTTAATTTCGTATCTGTTTGCGTTTGATCTTGTTGTTGTTTCTTAGTGTGACGTTTTGTTTGATCAAATTCTTTTCGTAGAGAACTAAGTTCTACTTCAGTTGTATCAAGTTTTGATTTTGTATCACTACTCAATTTTTTATATTTTTCTAATTGATCTTGTAATGTTGTTACAACACGATTAAGACGACTTCGATCATCATCAGATTCTTTTACTTTTAAACTTATACGTTCATTCTCTTCTTCCTAAAGGAAAACTACGATTAAACATGATATTCATTGGCGTTTAGAGAGAGAAAAGGATTCGACAGAATACGTAGTGAAGTGATGTCGCATTGAAATGTGAAACACGATTTATTTGTTACTGTAAGTTATGACAGTGTTGTTTATTCAGCGAGAGGGCAAGGGGCACTTTTTGTCCTCCCAAGAAACATGAAATAAATAATTAACTTTTATATAGCTAGCCTACAAAACACAGATCTTTTGAACGCATTAGTACGATAGACTCGATATTACTCATGGTAGTTCGTCCCTCAAAACACGTTTATCTGCTCTCCCGACAACTGAATTTGCACGTCCCGGAGTGAAAAATCTGGATAAAACATTAATGACAAGATGTTTCTTACATTATGAAATCTATTTCATCAATGTAATATGAGTTCATCTTCTGGAATGCCCTAAGGAAGCATTCTATATATTATCGTGGCACGTTACGGATGTAAGAGCATTGATAGTTGATTAAATATTATTGATCAGTGTATGTGAAAGATGTAGGTTTTTAACCCCCATATTTCAACGCTCTGTTTAAATCCTCTTTCTCCGAATGAATCAAAACGAAAATTTTTGATTAGATCTTGTCTTTAGAGAGAGTTGCGGCTGACTTCTAAAACTCACGCGTTTAACGCATTCTGTATGCATTCGTTCGAGTTCTTCTTGCATGACACGAAGACGTGCTTTTAGAAAGCGAATTTTAGCCTCTAAAAGAAAAGGAGAATGAAAGCAAATCTATATTAGATAACTTTCATCAATTGTACTTTACCTGAACCCATATCTTTCGCAGCACCTGGAAAAATATCGTCTTCGTCATTGTCAATAGCATTTGTATTGACGCTGCTTTTGGTTCGATTAATTTTTGTTTCAATATCTGCTACTGTTCTATCAAATGTATTTCGAGCTTGATCTTGTAAAATAGTATGATCAATTGATTGATCATATCGATGATTATCAACAGTGGCAACATCATCTCCAACTCGCGGATGAAATTTTCTATCAGAAAAAATTAAGCAACGAATCATTTGCCGAGAGAAATGCATCGACATTTACTTACGTAACAGATGGTTTTCTATTTTTTGCTGATAGATTTTCTTCGTGATATGTTGCAGATGGAGGTCTCTAAAATGAAAATTATGTTAAATATAATTCGATTTAATTTTAATTTTCAATTATATTCCTACTCTAAGATCTCTTGTGTGCGATGAAGCAATTTGCAGATCGCTATATGAAAAATTCAAAATATGAGAATCATAAAAGAAAATCTTTCAATTTTCTAACCCGAATAATTGATCATCTGTATCGACTTGATCAAGTAAACTGTAGGTACGATCATTATTATCTGTTGAGACGAATCGATTTTGATTTCTCTGCAAAAAGAAAACTAAACGATTAAAAAAACAAAATTCTTTTAATTAACACTAACTAAAACTTGATCAGCTTCTTCAACAAGTGCTTGTGTTTTTGCTTCAAGTTGTGCATTTAATCGTCTATTAAAGTTAAAATAAATTTCAAATATAATTGACTTATTTCTCATTGTCAAGTATCAAAATTAAAATTCTTTTCTTTTGACATGATTTGACAGAACTCGTTCAGTTTCATATTGGTGGTTTCGTAATGAAATTTATATAGAAAAATCTTCAAAAATCCATACTCCCCAAAAGAATTGAGTCTCAATAACGTCAACATTCGATCAAAGTCTTTTGTACCACATAATTAAAAAAGAATTATGCATGCATTCTGAAAAAATATTGTTTGATTGTTATTAAAATCTTTTCTGTTCTTCGATGAAAGAGAAAAGGCTCGACATGCGAGTTGTCATCATTGATTTTTGAATGTTTAAACTTCAATTTCAAAACAATCGAATATCATGCCGATAGTCACCAACAAAACTCTACATATAAGAAGACTTTCATTAGTTAAAATTAGCTTTTGTCTGATTTCGATGTTTAAAGAAATACAAGTCTGAAAAGGAACTGCATGGATCGAATTTAGCTTTCTGGATTTTGGATACTATTCGACATAAATTTTGCTTCTAATTCTAATAGTAGATATATCTGCATACAAAATTTCAACTATGTTGTTTTTTATTATACGAAAAAAAAGCAATTCCATGAGTAATCAAACAATATTTTTTGAAAAAAAATATATATATATATATATGTACCTGCATAATACAAAAAAAGGCTTCGTGCAAACATTGACATTATCGAGGGTTGTTGTTTTCAAGATATTTCAAGTTTCTCAGACTTTTCTGATCTATTTAGATTTAAACTGCACAATGAAAATGTTGACGAGTTCTATTCAACTATAACAAAAGATGTTTTTCTCGAATTTCAGAGTACTACCACCACCTTACTTATATTCTTCTTCTTGATCTGCATAATCATTTCGTGGTTTTGGCGTACGTGCGCTTGGCTTTGCTGAAGCTGCAGCTGGTTGTCCTGTTGTACGACTTGATGATTTAGCACTCATCTTTAAATAAAAAATGAAACTGTGTATATTTATAAAAAGATCTCAATCATAAATTGTGACAGAAAAAAGCATCAAGATAAGAATAACTTAATACTATATAAAAAAAGAAAAGAAAAATGAAAGATTTAATAACTAAAGTAAAAAAAACATTTCGTGAAATAAAATAAAAATCAAGTATCCGCTTCTTTTTTTTTGTTTTAGTTTAAATACATAACAATCAAATTATTCAGTATTTCGTTTATAACAGAATAAATATGCACAAAGATGTCATCAAGTGAAGAATCAAATAATGATTAAAAAAACAACACAGAAAATAGTTTTGTTTTTCTTTCAACGGAATAAAGTTTTGAAAATTATCAATTAACGATCATGATGACGGGATTTTGTACTCGGTAAACGAATTGATTGTTGACGTTGAAAAGACGATGGCATGACAGTATTTGCAACATGAAGTATGGCTGTTCGGGCATAAGGATAAACACCGTAGAGATTATTACTTGATTGTTGTCTCTGCAGATAAAAAGAAACAGGAAACATAATATACGTGTATAAAATAAAGATATAACGAATTTGTTCATTATTATCATCGAAATTTATTTTGTTACTACAGGAACGCAATCTGTCTGAATTTCCTTAGATAAAAAACAGTTCATTCAGGCTTATTTGTTAGTTAGTCGTCTAGAAGGATTTGAAAAGTTCTAATGTTTAGTAAGACCAACAAAACGTCTTATATTGGTATCTGCTGGAAAAATCAATTATTTCTTTCTTTTTTTTCAAACCTCACAAAAATAATGATGTTGAATCAGTAATATAAAAGTTTTCAGAAACATTTACATTACTAGACAAGCCAATGAAGTAGTACTACTATCAGTTTCTGACACTTTCAAAAGCAGTATGGGAGAAATTGAATTTTAATAAGGCTGGTAATTTGAAAACATCGTGGGAACTCAGCAAAGATTTATGTGATTTTAATTCAATAATCATAAAGCAATATTTTCATCGAAACGGCTACGAAAATATTTGTTATATTCTTATGTTCTAGAGAGAATTGTGAGAATGTAGAGTTTCGAACAGTTTACCATTGAAAATTTAGTTACAACAATATCGTTGATCTATAAGCCGAAAATCGTCGCTATTTGAAGAATAAATTTGAGAAGAATCACTATTTTTAGTTATAATTAACTTGTCAACTACGTCTTCAGATAGACCGTACTTAACTATAATTTTCTAGATATTTGGTCATATTATTATGTTTAAACAACGCTAGACAACTTATACTGATGCTCCGCAATATTATTTCGTATGTAGAAAAATACAATGATACATCCAAAAGTATCGAGGTTTAACTATAAACCTGACGAGATCGATTGAGAAGCTAATTAGCAGAGTATTCATTTTCGCGCATATATGAAGTTTATTTTTGTATTTACTCGATTAGATTCCATTAGTGTTTTTGGAAAGGTTGTTGCATTTTGTTTCACTAATGATTTTGCTGATTTGATAAGATCGTGAGTTGGATCCTTTTCATTTTTTATACATAGAAAATAATATACGGGAGAATTTCAAACAATAACTTACTCTCTGTGGTGCCATTACAATTTTGTTGACATGAGCATAATCACTTCTCGTAGGCGAATGCTATATAATATAATTCATATGACAACATAAGAATACTTTCAATCAATATAAACTCACACATTGACGACTGAAAGAAGAATTATGTCCATTGGAATTGATTATATGACTATCACTAACATATACTGATTTTCGTTGTTCTGGGGTCCTAAAAACCAGATATATCAGTTTAAACTTAAGTTGATAGATCACTCCACTAATACATACCATGAATATTTATTATTATTATTATTATGCTGTAGCTGCTGCTGCTGTTGTTGTTGTTGTTCAATACTGCGACTAGTCGAATATGTTGTTGAAACTAAATATAGATATAGATATCAATGTAATATAAAACATCAATGATTAACCTGTTGTATCAACATCAGCTTGGTCCATTGGATCAGCGGCTACCATTTGATAATGCTGAAAAGAAGTTTTCAAAAACAAATTATAGAATAAAGATCATCCCATTGATTATTCAATTCTTTTTACCGAAATAATATTCTGTCTGGAAGGAGTTCGTTGAAGAAGAGGTGTTGTTTCTATAGATGGTGGATGACAATCAATTGTTCGACTGCGAACTAAATCTCGTGTCTAATATACCAATATATATACATATATATATCAACAATAGTTAATGGAATAATCATATAAATCTACAAACTTTAGGCCTATGTTGTGATTCATTAATTGATTCATCTCTTTGTTGTAATTGAGCATGTTTGAATGATAATGATGAGCTATTATTATTATTATTATTATTATTATTATTATTGTTATTGATTTGAATATTATATACATTAGTATTAACATTAGGCACGATAGCCATTGATGAACGATAGATGTTAGATTCGGATATTTGTTGATTACTTGATGTTTGATATGGATGATGCCAACGATTTTCAACTGTATCTAAAGTAAATCGCTTAAGCTTTTTGCCCATATCTTTCGATGATTTGTGAAATATATGTGTTGAACTTTGTTGGTTATGTTTAGGTCTCAATAAAACACCATTTGATGCACATCTAAACGATGGAGATGTTGGTGGAAGTGGTATTTGTTGTTGGTCACGAAAAGACTGTTGTCGACTTATCGAGGGTGGTTGTGGAGCTGTCGGAGTTGGCTGACGACTTTTAACATATTTTCGTCTTAGACGACTATGATGAGAAAGAATACTATTTGGATCATCTTCATCGTCACTTGTATTATTTGAACTTAGTGGACTAACAGCAGTTATTTGAATTCGTTCATCGCTTGATGATGAGTGATTTCGTGATTGTGCTCGAACAAATTTCGATTGCGGACGATGATGATGAGAATTAGATGATCGATCAGTTAACTGTGTATTACTACGATGTTTCGCTTGAGAATGAATTATGGAAGAAGATGCAACAAATGATACATCTGTTGAATTATCGACACCATTATGGCCCGGCATAGTTGGAGATCGGCGGCGATTTTGAATTTCACCATTTTCATCGAACCTTGACAAGAGAAATATATGGTTTAATTTAACAATAACTTTTTCATTATTTTTTTCTCTCTTTCTCTCTCTTTAAATATACCATCTACTTAAACGACTGTCAACAAGTGGTATAGAAAACGAAGTCATATCATTGCTCTGTTCATGTTGTCCTTGTGGTGTACTTATAGAACCGAGAACAGTTTTTCTAGAAAACTCCAATAGAAAAAAGATATTCATTTTGATTAAGATTTTATATACGGTCGATGTTGTTGTCGTTGCAAACGCTTCTGCTGTTGTTGTTGTTGTTGTTGTTGTTGTTGTTTTTGATTTAAGCAAACGAATGCTTCGTGTTGAATGCATGCTTCAGCTGTTAAACGATCTGGAGCATATAAACGTAAAGTGGCCTATTAAAAGAATCGAGAAAAGGTCATTTAAACGAATGCTTGTTTTATAGAAATTGTGTTACTTTAAATAAATGCATAATGTCCGATGGAAATATGTGACCATAACGTCTTTCTAATGTTTCCAAATGATGGATAGGAGGAAACTAATGTAGATATTTATTGTATTTACTTTATAAAAAAGAATGAAATGTTTATTTTCATCATACTTTCAATCCGTCGAATTTTGGATTTATTTTCATTGCTTCCATATATTTAGGTGGTAAGGGTCCTAAGCATTTTTGAATGCGATACAACTGATCAATATCACTTTCGCCAGCTGAAAATTTTATTGGAATAGAATGAAAATTACTCGTGTATGAATATTTTAAAATTACCAAATAGAGCTTGGCCAGTTGTAAGTTCCGCCATAATGCCTAGAAGGAGAAAAGATTTTGGTTCGGAATATGACGGGAAAAAAATCGCATACATCCACATGCCCAGATGTCAACTGGTTTTCCATAAGCTGATCTAAAATTAGTTTCAAGATAAACTTTTGCCTTCATCTCTTCGAGTACAAACACTTGAGACTTTATTGATCTGATAGGAAATCATAAGAATAAAACCTTTCTTTGTTGTTTCTTTTTCATAAAGATAATAAAGAATCATGTATATACATTGAAATATTTTTACAATCGTGTTGTTTTCAATTATTATAGTTTATGAAAGAATTCTATGAGAAAGAGATATAAAAAACGAAAATACTGTTGTTTGAATGTATGAAAATTAAATTTTCAGCTAACATCTGTATAATGAGTTGAGCTTTTTTGACAGTAGAGAAACGAAGAATCAATGGTAAAGTTCAACTAGTATCGCATTAATTGTTGAAGGATCAGTTCTTACTTTAAGAAAAGACTGATCTTTTAAGTAATCAATAAATGAAAAATTTGAATAAGAAAAGATTTCTATTTAAAAGAAGTCACTATACATAAATTTTATTCCATACAATTCTGAAACGTGTGAAAGAATAATTTGTTTAAACTTAATTTTTCACAGTAGATTTCACATACCAAAGTTAATAAGTGAACAGAATTCAAGTGTTTAATCTCATTCTCTTCAACGACAAAATCATAATTTCCTGTTAAGTCTAGAAAAAAACCTTCAAATTTCTAATTGCAACTAATTGAAAGTACTCTTTTAAAGTATAGTTTAAGGTCGAAGAATACAGTTAGTAAATATCTGTATAGTAACCTTTTATTCGATGTATTTTATAGCAATTGAATAGTTGAAAGATTTCAGCCATGTGACATTAACATATACAGATCATGCCATACAGCACTTTAAGTTTCTTTCAATTTATTTACATTTTTTGGGGCAAATTGATTCATTCTCAAAAAATGTTGCAAAGCAGCATCCTGCATAGGTGCAAGCGTTTAAATAAACTTCGGCGAACTCAAAAAGAGTTCAAGTAAATAGTTAAATCAGTACAGTGCTAGCCATGAATGTCAAGAATATTTTAGTAAAATAAAGAGAAGATAAAAGAGATCATTAGAAATTTTCAAGTGCTCGACTTATCCTTAAAAACATTTTCTCGTGTTTTATTTGTGTTTTTTAAATTCGTCATTCATACCCGATAAGTAATTCTGGCGATCGATACCATCGCGTTGCAACCTTGAATTTTAGTGGAGTAAAAAAAAGAAAACTTCTCGTTACATTGTATTCTTTTTTCAAATATAAATTTCTTACATAATCGGTGTAATAATCCGCTGGTGTTTGTGTATTACAAAATCTTGCAAAGCCAAAGTCACATAATTTTAAAACAAAATTTTTTGATATTAGTAAATTTTCCGGTTTAATATCACGATGAATTATTTCATGTGTATGACACCAATGTATAGCACTAAACAGTTGATATGACAATTGACGTACTTGTTCTAATGCTAAACCATCAGGATGTTCTTGTAGAACTTGTAGCATATTCCATTCGACATATTCAAATACAAGAAAACATTGCTTTTTATCACGAAACCATTCGATTAATTCAACGACATTTACAAATCGAAGCGACTGAAGAATTTTTAATTCACGTTCAATTATATCCATATCAGTGCAATATCCTAGTGAAATATTTTCGATAGTCATCAACAATAGTACGATCATTCTTCTGTTTTAAATATCAAACCTGGTGCTTGTTTAAAATGTTTAATAGCAACTGTTGTATTTGTATCCTTAGAAGAAAAAAAATATAAGATTACCTCATAGCTATTTTATTTTTTCATTATTCATTTAATTTTCGTACTTTCTTTCGAGCCTTGAGGACCACACCATATGAACCTATTGATTTATCAATTAGAAAAGAAATAATTAGAAAAGAAAAAGAACTAATTCTGTACCTTCACCAATAACACTAAGTATTTCATACTTATCTTTGACATGACTTGGTATGTGTTTCATTGTCGAACGTTTTTTTTTCTTTAATACAATTTTAAAAAAATTAAAATCCACAATGAAATTCTTATAAATAAATAATCAACGTTATTGTATGCCTTCCTGGACAACTGTTAGCGACTCGAACACGCTAATTAGGATGTCAACGATGGTTTCATAGGCGTGTTTCTGGATGTTGTATTTGCTTACTTTTTTATGCCGTTATTCTACTCTCAATTCGCTTTTTTTCTCTTTTTTTACAACCATTTTTTCCATACATCTCATGTCATTTGCTATGGTGATGGAAATTAAAACAATGACTATCGAAAGAGGTCACCTATTGGCAATTTGAAAAAACAATATTTACTTTTTATTGCTCACCTACGAAGGATACTAAAGAGGCAAAAACTGTGACAAAGAGAACAACTTTCGCATAAATATGTAATAGAATGAATAGTTTATTCTATAATACGAAATATATCTTACATAAGTAAATTTAATCATATAAAATTTCACTCTTACGCCATACTGATAACCTATTAGTTGCATAAAATCAAAACATAATTTATACAAAAGAAAAAAAAATCTAATCCAAAAGCAAAAAAGTTATGCATATTTAATATCGATAAGACAAAAGTCTTGACTCCTATTTCATAATCATTTAAATATGATAAAGAAATTGTTCCGTGAAAATTGTTGCAATCTTTTTCTTTGCAGAAGAAGAAAAAAATAATTCTATACATTTCAAATATTTGAATTTTCAATACTATTGACTAATTTAAATAAGTAAGATTTACTTCACTACTTATACCATGAAGTTTAGGACATTTAAGAACGCCAATATTAAATGAAAAAGAAAATATTTATTTAAACAATCAAAAACAAAATAAGTCAAATTTCGTGGACACACTATAAATCATATTTGGTAATTTTGAACTGGTAATTTACTGATAAACACAATCTAATCCAACTCATATTCATTGATTGTGAGAAGGATAATCTCTTCATTGAATCATTTCTCAGTTTATTTAAAAGTTAAATATCAGTTCAATTTGCCACAAATAATCTCATATTATTCATTGAAAATATATTTTAAAAACAAAAGAATCTTTCAACTATCTTGATTATAATTGATACAAAAAACCTCTGATATATTGCTTTTTTCTTTCTTTGTATAGCACTGTTTGTCTCATATTGATGAAAATATTATACATATGAACAAAATATACAATAAAATAAACAAACGACAAAATGAAAAGAATATTAACATTAAAAATCACACCCATCAACACCATCTAAATACAGTTCAAATTCTTCTCGGTTACATTTTCCATCGACTGTAAATATGTGTTTATGAAATGTTCCATCGAAACTTGCAGCAATAACATGACTTGGACCAGAAAATGCACATATACATGACCATTCAATAGCGACTTTAAAATTACATAAATCTCCAAATGCTTCATTGAGCGCATGTGGTATGGCAGCCATACGATTTAATTTTGGATCGCGTATACCATACAAATGAACAGTACCTTTATCACTTGATACACATAGAAAACTTGAATCGAAACTAAATGCAATGCAATGAATATCAGCTGTATCAGATCCCCGTCGAAATTCAAATAATTTTTCACATAAACCTGTTGTTGACCACACACGTATTAATGTTCCCTGTTGTTTAAATTAAAGAAAGATTTTTTTTTAAATTTTTATATTTTAAATTTCAATTTTACATACTCGTTTAGACGCAGTAGCTAATAAAGTAGCTGCATGATTAAGTGCCAGAGCAGCTAATTCATTGGTGTGGACATGAATTACACGTGGGTTATAAGACATATCATTTTCAATTCCATTCATATTCTAAATTTAAAATATTAATTATTTTTAGCCGTTCTTTTCTCGTAAGGAAAATATTCAATCTATTCTGTTATATGATAAAAAACTCTAAAATAATTATGATCTAATCATCCATTCTATAGATCCTATTTCTAATTCTACAAACAAGAAAATAAGTTCACCGGTCTGCACATGTAATTTTAGATCCATTTATTCATATTTCATATTGAAATCTTCTATATTAACTACATTTATTTCAAAATAAATCTATTTACGTTCAGATTGAAATAAGCAAACAATCTTACGAATAAACTACTGGAGGTAATAAAAAGTTTTTGAGTTGAAATTCTATGCATAAGTAGAGGATGTGTAAATAAGAAAAACACTGCAAGCACATGCACGCATAACATTGTTATTTCATGAGAACCTTGTCATTCTTTTACTGTAAGTTTCCTACAGCAGATTACTTTTCTGGTAAATTCAAAATTTTGACCTTTAAGTCAAGGCTTCAAATCGATGTAGAAAATTTTAGAATGTTCAGAAAAACTATTCATAAGCGTTCTTTATGTTCAACATGTGAAAACGTTGTGCTCATTGCTATTATGATGAAAGTTATTTTGTTGTTGACAAAAATTTAAATCAATACTTTTATGTTATACGAAAATCAAAGTGTTGTTTGACAATTATATACTAAGAAAATCTAAATATTGCACAAATGATTTTCATATCCTTTCTAAAACTTTTTCTAGCTTCGTATATATGCATAAAATTTCAAAACTCAAAAGCATTTTATCACCTGGGGGTTCCCTCGTTAGACTTTTCTTCTTCTTCTAATCAATTTAATGATACATTACAGTTCGTAATAATAGTTTCATTCGAAATTTTTCAATTAAAACGAAATAAGAAAAAATTCAACTTGCAAAAAAGAAACAATGCATATCTAATCATGTGAACATAGATCAGGATTAATAAAAAGGAAACTTAGAAAAGTAATCGTTTGATCAATTATTTCGAACATCAATTTCATTGACCATAAGAATAAACGTGTGTCTGTACTCATATTTCATAATTGATTATAATCATTCAACTTTGAACCCTTCTTTTTTTCTCAACGAAGTAGTCTCTTCCAAGTGGAAAATTGCAGATTTTTCTATTTCTTTTTTTGTTGAACAATTCATTTCCTCTCTGTCCATTGAAACAGTCTTTTGATCTTTTTCTCTCTCCTCCTCTCTCTTTCTCTCTCTCTCTCTCTCTCTCTCTCTCTCTCTGATATTCAAGAATGAGAAAATGCTTGACCATTGTACACTAGAGAAAGAGAAAAAAATTTCTTCTTCCACCAATAAGCTATTTTAGCCAATCATCTTTTTTCTTCTACGTTGCTCTTCATCTATCATTAAGAGAAAGTACGCGACACATTTGATCATATTACTCGAATACATGAAAGGCGAGATTTTCTATATGTAGACGGAAAAAAGGGTACGACAATAAATTCTTACTATGATGCAAACGGCTTCGTATCATCATTCATCATATGATTATAATTCATTTCCAACATTTTTACCATCAACATCGAATACATATGCATCGTATTATCCAAATCATTTTAGAGCTCAAACAAATGTATCAACAAAAATTGAACAAGATGATTCGTCAAATTCTAGTATAACACCACCTCCATCAAAATCATTATCAACATCAACACTAACAACAACAAATAATGCTCTTTCGCACATTCCAATTGTTCTTCAATTGTCATCAAATAATACTGAACAAACTCTAATATTAACTATCGATCAATTATCTTGTGTATGTGAAGCAATACAACAAAGTGGTAAGATCGATAAATTAATAAAACTTTTACAGTTATTACCACAAAAATCTTCATCACCAACTGCGGCTTTAATTCATCAGCATGATAGTGTTTTAAAAGCACGTGCAATTATACTTTATCATCAATCGAAATTTCGCGAATTATGTTGTTTATTAGAAACTCATACATTTGATATTCATCATCATACGGAATTACAACAACTGTGGTACAAAGGACATTATATGGAAGCACAAAAGATTCGTGGTCGTCCATTAGGAGCTGTTGATAAATATCGTATAAGACGAAAATATCCATTACCAAAATCCATATGGGATGGTGAAGAAACAATTTATTGTTTTAAAGAAAAATCTCGTCAAGCATTAAAAGACTGTTACAAATTAAATCGTTATCCAACACCTGATGAAAAACGTTTCTTAGCAAAAAAGACTGGTCTAACATTAACGCAAGTTAGCAATTGGTTTAAAAATCGTCGACAACGAGATCGTACACCACGAACGTAAGTTTAATCGCCCACTTGTCCTTTTGAACATTATCCCGATTTGAAAAATGTTAACATCTTTTTTTCTCTCTCTCTCTCTCTCTTTGTATTAATTCATAGACAAGATTGTCAAGATCTTCAAACATCATTATTAAATCAAGCAGCCTATTTTGCTTCGGGTTCAGTTTATTCTCATGGCTCATTTAGTTCAAATGGAACATTATCATCAAATTATTCATATTCAACACCAACACAAAATCATTCAACATTTTTACACTATCAATCGTAATCTATTTCTTCTAGTCATTGATGTATTGATTAAAATTTCAGTTAGCTTGTTTTTTCTTCTTTTTCTTTTTTGTTGTTCTTTAGCAGAAAAAGATGCGCTAATGAACATCATCTATTCTAGGTGTCGAATAACATATAATCATGAACCTTTTTTTCACAATTATCTATTGTCATCCATTACGCATCTGATTACCGTTTTTTTTCTCTTCTTCATTCTTTTTTGCTCTCAGCTACCTGCTGTATTTTATTATAAGAATTTGATTTCGAATAAAGTCAGAAAGACGACACGATTATTATAAATAGATGATGTCTTATAATTGGAGTTGTTCAACTAATCAGAAAAGTCCACAAGTTATTTGATGCGATTATTATCATAGACAATGTAAAAAGTCTGTCCCATACTCAGCTCCATTTTAAAATGAATATTATTAGCATTAGAAAGTGTGCGCCATATGACACCTATGTATATAGACATTAGAAGTCATGATACAATCTGTATACTTATGTCAATCAACTTCAAAACAATAGAAAACGATTGTTTCTTTTTGAGAAATTAAATCAATTCTAAAACTCATTTTGTTATTAGAAGAATAAATTTAGTATAGATAGTAAGATTATGGTTAGAACAGTGAAAATTTTACGGTAATATTTATAATATTAATTCAAATGATGAAATATTTTGAAACATAAATTAAAATATAGGGTGGATCAATATTGAAGAATGATTCGTTGCTGTAGATTTGCATTTTTTTTTTATATAGTTATGCATATTTTTGTGAGAAAGTGACTTTTGATTAGAAAAGTTTTAATTAACAGTGAAAATAAATAAAGCCTTCCAGAAGGGGCGCTATTTTTTAAATTTAGAGTCGGCTATACTATACTTATGAAGTGCATATTGGAAACTTAAGAGTAAAAAGGCGAAAGATGAATATTTTTCTGCTATCTAGGTGAAATTTAATTAATGTTTCTTGTTTCAGACTCATATGTTACGCTGTATAAAGGTGATGCAGTTCAGAAAAAAAATTGCAACTTGTGTCAAAGTCAATGCATTAAAGAAGCACATCAACAGCATACATTTTAATTGAATTATGACTCTTGAAAGAAAATTTACTAGTCAATCTATTGAGAAAAAAGGAATGATGAAGTAGCAGTGTAGACTAAAAAAATGAAATTATATTACAAGTTTACTAGTTTCGTTAAAATTATTTGTTCGACGTGTTTCTGAAACCGAAGAAAACTTGCGTCAATTTTTTTTTGATATCATAGTTGAGTTCAACCTATGATTCTCGTTTGAATTGTAAAAAGTGAGTTTACTATTTAAAATTCGTAAGACTAAAGAGTGCTATATGTACTGATACAAAATATCAGGCCCACTCAATCTGTTTTACTACGAAGACTTCTTACTGAGTGCGACGAAGAAAATATATTGTATAAATTTATCAATACTATGCAAAGGAAAAGGACATAAATATTTGAGCCTACGCAATTGAAATCTAGACTAGTAACTTCGCCATCGATGGCGTCAGCTGTCTCTGATCTAGTCGTATGATTATCAAGTATTGACTACAATTTGTTTACATCGAATATTTCGAAACAAATGCTTATTCATTTTTTTAAATCTGATTTTGATGTAATCAATAGTGAAAATTTTACTTACTAAAAATTGAACAAAACCACCTTTAGTTTTAGCATTAAAAGGAAAAACAAGTAATGATCCATCAGTATTTGATAATTCACAAAGTCCTAAACAAAGAAGAGAAAACGATTTAAAAAAATAGTCTCAATCAATCAACAGTCATCCGACTAATTAACTAACCTCTTGGATTATCTCGTGTATCGATCGTATGTAAAAGTCGACATTGATTAGGAAAAGAAAATATATGAATTTTACGTACAAGTACAACAAGAAGTCTATATAAAAACAAAAAACAATTTCAATTCAAGAAAATTAATAAACAATCATATGGCTGTTCAAACCTTGTTCTTGACATTCTTATAGAAACAACCGGAAAACTAAAGCAAAGTTCAAGTACATGAGCTTTTCGTTCATCATCATAGACATTCACTAAAAATATAGCGTTTAAATAAATAATCAGAAAGATAAAAGAAGTCAATTTCTCGTACCAACATTCGATGATAAACCCGTGACATGATCAGCTGGGACGTATGCTATTAAATTTGTACGATAGAGCATTTCTGCATAGGTTGCACGACCAACATCTATAAATAGAAAGAAAAAAAAAATTCAAAATTTACTCAAAACAAAAGCAATCTTCTTCATTTACCGAGAAAGCATTTTTGAGCAAATGGTTCAACATTAAATATTCGAATACCATCACAAGTAGCACAAATGAAACAAGCTATAGAAGAAGAAGAAAAAATAAAAAATAAAAATGAACAGTCAAGTTTTCAGTCTATAAATTTCTACTTGAATCTTGATTAAAACGTAAACTGAGAACGTCAGTTGTTGTCCGTGAATATCGATTAACAGACATGATATATCTGAAATGAAAATTGGCTTTTCTATTTATTCCTGACGACTTTATTTTTTATAGTTCACAAAATTCCTTTTTTTTCTTGTTGCCATCTATAATCACATAAAACGGAAAAAGAGAAAAGAAAAGATAATAAAGTTGACTAAAAATGAAAACAATGTACAATAACTGATATACATATATAGGTACCTATTCACATACACTGGAAGTGAGAAGAAAAGAAAAGAAAATGAGTCGTATGGAAACTGTCAAATTATTTTTTATTCAATTAACCGGTTTGAAGTTTCAATATACCAAGCACCGTAAACATCAAAATATGCTTATTGTTTGTTTTCTTATGAGTCAATAGAAAAAAATGTATAATCTTTAGCATTTTCTTTGGACCAATCTATTTGAGATAGTACAATATCGACTTCACCCAATACATGATTACCAACAGTTAATGCATTGTTCCATACACTGACACGAAGAAGGCGTCTAAATAGGGAAAATCACAGAAAATACTTGTTTTCATCTTTCTATCTATTAAAATCTTACTTTTGAATTTCTGATAAATCCATTTCATATGTAAACTGAAAACAAAACATGAAAAAAGTCTAAGATTTTTTCGAAAATAAAACTGTTTTTACTGTATCATTAAATATTGGATTTCGTGAGTTCATAATAGTTTTTCCTTTTCGTTTTGTTGATTTGCATTCATCAGGAAATAAATAACATTTACAATATGGATTGGGATCATTTCCATTGATGAGTGGCTAAAAAATAAATCCTATGATATATTAATATCATTTTAATGCTATTCTTCTTACCAAACTATTTGCATAGCGAACCATAACAAATAATTTTCCACTGTCATATTTTAATTGCACACGGATTTTTGGTTGATTATTTGGCGATGCATCATAAGGTAAACGTGATGAAAACTCTGTGAAAAGAAAAAGAACAGAATTCAAACTGATGTAATTTGCATGATTTACCATCACTAGGTTTTTCCTTCGAATCATTGATTTGTTGATCTTGTTGAATCATATGAAAGAATGTTATAACCAGATCAGACTAAAAAAAAAAGAAACAGAAGTTGTTATGAGACGAATGTGTCGAATTAAACCAAGTCGGTTCTAATATTCAATGGGATTCATAGTCCTATGAAAAATCTATCGAATGATCTCCTATCTAGACTGGTACATTTCTAAATCTAACCTTGCTATTCCTTTTTCTAATTTGCCTAATAACTTACGTCAACAACTTCAAGCGTTAAACGAAATAAATTTTCCAGGAAATCATTAATATCACTAACACGTCTTTGAGCAACCATTTTATCTTCAGTTTGACGAGAAAATTTTAATTCTAAACCAATCAGCGGAAATTGTTTATTTAAACGTTCGAAAAATTCATAAAATTCATTATATGTTCGATAGTGATATGTTGTGCATGAACGTTTTGTATTCTGATGCGTTATCATCATGGCATCATTAATGACTTCACGTTCAACTTTTAATTTATATAAATAATGTTTTGTTGGATGTGTTCGTTTATCATAACTGACAACATGTGCTGATTTTATTTTACCATCTGTAGCTATTGTATAGGTTTTAGGTATAAATGATAATGTTGTACCGATAGGCATCGTATTTGATGAACTAGATGAACTTGTTGTTTGTGCAAATGTATGTATTAAAAAGTTCAATGTTGTCCATGTTGAATTTAAACTATCAACAATAAGTCCAGTAAAATGTGCTATGCTATGAGCATAGTTTGCTGATGGCGATAAACGATCGTAAACAAATCGAACAGCATCGTAATTAAGATTCAATACGTTGGATGAACATAAATGAGATAAGAGTAGAAGAAGTAAGCTAGAATTTTGACGTAATGTACAAAATGCATTACAGCATAAATCAACAAAACGATGTAATGCATCATTAGATGTACCAGCATGAGACATAGCGTATAACATTTGCTTTGTAAATACAAATGGAGCCCGATCACTAAATTTGATAAAAAAAACGCACTGAAATATGACAGGTTTTGCTTAATAAAATTGAAGTGCTCTAGCAAGCAAAATATTTTATTTGAGTTCCGTAGAGAGATTATAGAACTTTTTGACAATGATAACGTAATATTCACGCTACGAATACTTTTTATCATCGCTCGATATTTTCTCTCGACGATTGAATCAATAATCTCAAAGTATTGTGTTTAATGAAATAATTTTAAAATATATCTAATAAAAATAAAAATTGCAAAAAATTTCAATATAAACAAAGCTTATGTTTACATTACAATCGTCTATTCTACCTGTAATGAAATATCTGAAAATTAAAGACAGTTTTTCAGCTACGATTCAAGTTGATTGCTTGGATCTGAAAGCAGCATCTACAAAGCCACTCTTGGAAAAAGCTGGACGATGTAGCGAATTTTGGGGGCTCATAAAATGATGATATGCAATATTATTTAAGCTCTTTCCTGCGAATGCTGCTGAAATTTATACATCGATTCTATTTCTTAGATTTTTCTTCTATCAATTTCTATGTATTCCAACAAGCTTAATTGAAATTTAACATAACACATACCGATTAAACCATCCAAATTTTTGTGTGTCTCCTAAATATTTTCCGAAATCAATATGAAATAAATGTCCTGAATGTTTCACCATAATATTATCATTGTGTCTATCACCAATTCCTAATATATAGGTGGCAACACAGTAAGCAGCGCATGAATATGATAAATTTTCTAAAGCAGTACGAAATTCTCTTTCCGTTGTATTGTGTAAACGTAACCAATCATATAGAGCCGATTCACCTAATGAACCTTTAATTGTTCCTGCATGTGATTCAATTTCTCTTAATGTTTCACTTTCTGTAATCATTTCAATAAAACCACAACGTTCTTGTGTTTGTACAACATTAAATAAGCTTAAACGTAAATCAAAATCATTTGCTTGCCATATTTTATCCATGCACGCAAATAATTGTAAGACAATTTGATCTTGCTATAAAAGTAAACATTTAAAATGAAAATTTATTTCTACAGTTCTGCTAGGATTAAAGTATAAAACACGATGTAGTTGCGAATCTCATAGAAAATCTTCTATTTGATCTGTCCTGAGAGCCAGTTGCAGCCTTTTTGGAGAGTTCACGAGCAACTCCATAACAAAACAATTCATATATTATACAGAAATTTTCCTGTATGCATTTAGTGCCACAATCAAGACAAATATATTATTTAGTTCATTTATGATAGTGTTTACCTAACTTTAGTCACAGTTTATAGAAATTCAAATTTTCACTCCTACACTACAATACTTTTGTTTAGCTGGTGTTTCACAAGATAAGTCTTTTGTTTTTCCAATTTAGACTTACTCTTAAATCATCTCCAATTTTATAAATTGCATAATATTTTTCACATGATGAATCAATTGGATTAAAGACAAGTTTGATTGGTAGAGTTAATGAATTGAAAAAAGAACAGGAATTTATATCAAGACTATTTGTCATAAAATTAGATTGACATGGCAGACGACATGTTAATTTACCAGCACGAAAAAAATCCTTGTTCAAACTATTTAATTGTTCAACAAGAAGAGATCCTTTATTACTTGATTTATTTGATTTTAATTTTACACCAATACGTTTTAAATTTAAACAAAGATCATATTCATTTTGTAATTCTACACGAAAATTTTCTTCTAATACATAAAGTAAAGATAAAAATAAATAATAATAACGTATGTAATGTAAATGTTCTGTAATCAGCAGTTGTCTTAAATGCCAATATAATTTATGTGCTAAACGATAATTAATTATTGCTTGTTGAAGTAAATATTCAATAATTGTTGATGAATGTGAATAATCAAATTTTATTATTTGTAATAGTTGTGGCAAATAAATTAGAAGATCTTGAGATGTTAAGCGTGATATTAACGAGCTGTATGCAAATGAACGTACATGCATATCAGGAAAAGCAGGTAGTAATAGTTCAAATGATTCAATTTCATCTATTGTACGATCACGAGTTACTTCATTGAGAAGTGCATAGATATCAATTAGACTTGGATAATCCCAAACCGAACGAGATTTAAGTAATTTTGGTAGAGCATACGATTTATGAATAATAAAATGGCGATGAGACCAAAGAAAATGGCACTCTTCTTCGGAAAATTCACGTTCTAAACAAAATTTTTAATTAAGTTCTCATGGAAAATAAATATTAGACTATGATAAACAAAATAAATCTGAGTTTTATTTTTGATTCGTTTATCTAGAGAATTAAATATTGTAGTACAAGATTTTAGTAAGAAAGACACATAGTCTAATTATTCATAGCTGTCATCAACAACTATTTACCATAATAGTTTTATAGTAGACCAAATATTCTGAATGATAATGCTTCGTAAAAAAAGAGATCACGACCAACTACAATAAATAGAAGAACTCAGAATAGGTATTCTGAATCGATAGATTGTTTAGTTGTCAAGTAATCGTAATGCTAACTATTATTTAGTACTAGTAAAAAAAGGAGTTTCTATTCTATCGACTGATAAAATACAAAATGTCCACAGAGTAGTAAAATCTCAAAATTGGTTATATGAATATTATGTAACAGCTTTGTAATAACTTTGTGCTTTATATCTTGTGCATTTCCAATTGTTTGAATTAAGTTTTGTGAGATGAATCAGCTATTCACCAGACTACAATCATTTTTACTATAGAAGTTGGTTTAACTATAGTTATGAAATCTCTTTCTGAATCGAAAACAGTCGAAACTTTTTCATTTCTAAGAATTTGTGATGTTGTTCAACTAAATGTAATAAACTACAACATTCTATTAAACAATAGTTCTTTCACTCGTTACTGTTCGGACAAGGAAAATCTTCTTTTCATACCTTCATCAGAGATATTTAATGAGAATTGTTGTTTTCGATTATCATTTGTTGTCATAGCACTATGATCTACTAATAATAAATTTGGCCGTTTAAGTAGTCGAGATAAGTTTTCTTGTTTTTCGCGGCTTATTTCAGTGAAATTTCCTGGATGTTTATCATCTCTAGGTTGAACATCCGGCCAAACAAATGATTGCTCAAGAAATGACACACTTAATATTGGACAGTTACGATCAAAAACATTTCTTAATGAATAAAAGCCCGTACGATTGGTTGTTGTTGAATCAAATATTCCTAAAAATCGTTCGCCGGTTATAAGATAATGTTCATCATTAAATATTGCTTGTGAACACCAGCCAATAAGATGCATTGGAGTTCCATCGAAAATTTCATGTGGCGATGATGAATCAGTCTCATCAAGGTAACTTGCATAGATTTCAAATAAAATAAGTACTTCACGTTGTAATTCACAAAGACGTGCATCATCAAACGAGAGCCATTGATCAAAACGAATCTGAGGTTTAAGTGCAACATGTTCAGAATGATAATTATTACGTACGAATGACATTGATCGAGTCATCTGTAGTGCTTTAGTTTGATTTCCATAACACAGACGAGCAATAATACGAACTGATTTTATATTCGATATGGATGGTAAAGAAAATAGAGTATCGATATAAACTTGAAATGTATCAGGTGATTCATTGATTGAACGCGGCATTTGAGTTTGTTTTATTGGCTGCAAAAAAATAGCGAATAGTTATTATTGAATTCTCCTTCGTTTAATTCAAATAGAAAATTAATAATTTTGATGTTAGATACCGCTGCAAGCAATGTATTAAATGCTAGTGCAGAAGTTAAGTGGGATCTGGGAATGTTCTCTCGTTAAATCATAAATGTCTTCTTTATGTAATAAGTGCGTCAATATCAATGACTACTGTTAAACACACATCCTAATTATGGATAAAGCATTTTTGACATTATCAATTTTATGAATTTACTATAAACATTTTGCTATGTATTATAAGAAATTTATTCTCAATTTTTCTTATTAAATAGTCTTCTCCTTCAATTTGACTATCTATTATTGATTAGGAAAGCATCCTTGACTTCGCATTAAAATATTAACTAATTTTTAGCCGCTATTTTATCATTTTGTTTTCAATGTTAAAAATAGGATATGTATGCATACTTCATATTTCAATTGTTCTACATCAATGGATATATTTTGATCATTGTAAAGCTCAACTTCATAAGGTATCAAATATGCATGACAATAAGTTTGTACATAACCAATAATTATAATGAGTGAATCATAAAGTAATCGTGTTAATTTTTCATGCATTTCAATTGATATTTGTTCTAGACGTTCATTGTGCGATTTTCTTATTAAGTGATCAGCAAACTGTTTCAATTCACGTTGTTTATCACTGATTAAAGAAGATTGTATAGATGAACATGTAACTTGAGTATTTTTTATAAAACTTATTAATTCAGTTATGATTTTAATTTGTTCACTTATTGATAATACCGGTTGATGAAATGAAACAAGACGATTAAAACGTTGTTCGACTTGTACAAGTATTAAATTCATATCCTTTTGAAATTCCTCTAACCATCGAGGATCTGACGCAAGAAATGGAGCATTGGATGAATGTGCTATATGAGCTTGATGAGAATATGTTGCTTGTTTGTTTGCATTTAATGATTTTGTCGAACGAAGTGTAGCTGATTTGTTCAATGATCTAAAGTATGACATGGATTAATTAGAAATCTGATTGTATCTCATTTTGGAAATGAGCACAAAGTTGTTTTTTTTTATGCAGAGCGACTTAAAAGTGAAAGTTTCTTTGAAAATAACCTAGGAATTAAATAGTCGATGGTAGAACTTAATTCGTATTTTGATTATTTAATTTAGTGAAGTCATATTTATATGGTTGCAAATGAATTAATCAAAATACAGTTAATGTAATTGTTAACTGAAAAACTAAATGTTTCCGGCGTCTTCTCCTTGAGTTCAACTAACATGAATGTATATGTATTGATAGATGTTTGAGAAACATACCGATGCTTTTTGTCTGTTGGCATTCCATTAGATCTGTCCAATGATGATGTTAATGTATAATGTGTTTTTTCTTGTTGGTCTAAACAAAATTGTTCAAAACTAAAGTCATTTGAATTTTGTTGTCTCTGAAATCCATAAGTTGGCTTTTGTACAAGCACAAATTGTAATTCTTTTAATGAATTAAGACAATTATAAACATATTCAATATCGCATAGAACATCTTCGTTACGTAAATATTCTTCACGAGAACGTAATTTAAGTACTGATTGATCATAATCAAATGGTGTTATTTCAAGTAATTGATATAAAATATGTGCTACTGTTGATTGCAAACTTATTTTTCTTAAACATATAGGTTCTTTTGCACCATCAACAAAGATATATAACGTGACGGGCAGCTGTTTTTGTTCTATATGTTGTGGAGTTAAACGTTGAACACGTTTACAATAAAATATTTCATCAGTTGATGTCTAATAATAAGAAAACAAATTATTTATAATTTAAATCTTTCATTTCAGATTTTGTTTTCTTATTGACTCTCATTTTGTTCTAAAATAACACGTATCTGGTGCATGATGTTTGTCATTCATTCAGAAATCTCGAAATAAGAATACTATTTAAATTAATATTAGATTATTTTTATTCAAAAATAATGATTAGCTGTTATCTTAGTCAATATTGATCAAACGTCTTATAATAGATGCTTTCGGTTGTTTTTTCTATCATATCTCAATAGAAATTCAACATAATACAGTAGAATTTTCAAAATAAATCTAGGTAATAATAATTGGTTGGTTAATTTCGGATGACTTTAGTGTTTATTATCCGGATACGGAAAAGTATGGCTTCTCTAAAGTGTAAGTATTAAATCTTTCACCTTCAATGTAAACAAAACAACCTGTTGGACTAATAGTACTTATTTCGATCTAGTCGAGTGCAAATATAACAAAAATCGTACTCGAATATGAATCTCTATGCGTACTTGTCCAGCTCTATTATTTCGATCGTGACTCATAAAAATCGGCAAAGTAGCACTCAAGGCCGAATGTTCTTTTTAGAAGAAAAATTACATTTCTCTTGAATCATAAACAAAACAAGGTCATGAATTATATTTATGATTAATTATGGCCGATATGATTATTGTCATTCATTTGTATAATGACAGCATATTTCTGAGTATTGTTGAAGGGTAGTTAAAGTAGATAAAATATCAAATGTTAAATGCATGCAATGATTCAGAACGATATCTATACCTGATTTGTTTGACTTTCATTACGAATACGTTGAACAAGTTGACTGAATGGTTTTATTTCAGGAAATATTGTTAATTTTAAACGTAATTTAATTGGATATGGATATGAAAGCGGTGTTGTTGATGTTACTATGGGTAGTTTTGATGGCGATAGTGTTGGAATTTCGCTACTTGGTGTAACAAAAGGGGGTGTAATCGTAGTTGTCGTACCAGCTTCATTTAATTTCGATGGCCATGAATGAGGTCGATCGATTTGTTTGAATGGATCAAATAATTCAAAAACATTAGCAGATAATAACGAAGGTGATGCAGGATCTAAACCCATATCAATTAAATTGGGCTCTCCACTATTTGCTTGATTATATGTAGAACCTTTTACTAAAATAATATGAAGAACTAGTTTACTTATGAAAATAAAAAATAAAGCCTACTATTATTTATTGTATTTTCTGAATTTTGACTTTTGGGTTCATTTTGTTTCATGTTAAACGTACTAAAAAAGTTGTTATCAAGTATTTCTTGTTCTGCAGGTTTAAATTCAATATTTTTCCTTAATAGAAGTGGTGCTGATGGTGGCAAAGGTAATAAAGGAGGTCTTGGAAAACCAGCCATATTTGATGGAGGAAAACGAGGTGAAATCACGAATGTTGGTGTATGAAATTGATTTGGTGATGGTGATGTTGATGTTGGAGTAGTTGTAAGGGATGCAGATTTGTGTAATTGATTTTGTACATTTAGACAAGATGATACAGGTAGATTCAAACGTGGTATCGCTGATAAACGAGGATCCCGATTATTTGACGATAGACAATCTGATGATGTCATCGCTGTATTTGAAATAAATGAAAGAGAAAACAATTAAAGAGAAATCTATAAAAATGTCAATATGAAGAGAAAAAAACCAAGTTCACGAACTTGGCGAGTCGTTTTTTAAGTAAATAAAACCTTTTTTTCTTCTTATATTTACTTACTTATGATGTCAGTGTATTTATTTACTTTTGCAAATATTCAAACTCAATATTTTTATATTTTGCCTGTAGAACTCCAATATCGAACCAAACCCATATTATTGCACTTTTGTACAATAAAAAGCTGACAGGTGTAAACAAGCTAAGAGGAAAAAAACACTTAAATCAATGTGCCAGGTGTTATTTTTGTCTTGAGAATCAAATGACTTAGTATATGAGAACAAGATTAGAACGCAAAAACGAAAGCTTTCTTTTATCTTTTGCTAAAGACTTTTGCGAGAAGAGAACAAATAGACAGAGACAATTAAAGATCATCTGATTTTTTGTATATTATTCGCGGGATTGCAATCAGATGATGATCATTTACAAATGAGGGCATGTATGCAAAAAAAGAATGATAAAAGGAAGAAGAAAAGAAACACTATTTTTTAATGGACATGAAACACGATCGAATGACAATCAGATATGATATAGATGGCGTTATTTCAGGAAATAAAACTATTCATTTAGTAGATAACTTTCATAAAGATTCTCAAGCGTAAGATCAAGATATTCGCTATTTAAAATAGACTCAATCTTTCAATAGAATATGTCACGTGTCATCATAGACTAAAGATCGAAGTAAAATGTTAACTGATAAGTAAACGTCTGCTTCTGCTGTTCTAATTGAAATTTACACATATTCAATGTAGAGAATGTTACCAAAAATCAACATTTTACTAAAATCACATGTTACAAAGTAACGATGAAATAACAAAAACAATCAAGTAACTTGGCTATTTTTTTTTCTTTCTAGCTTTATCAGTAATATTTTTTTACTGTCGAAAAAAAAGTTCTCCCACTATTGACATAAGATATTTATTCAAAAGGAAACAAGAAAAAGTCTTGATGCGAAAACAAAAGAGAAAAATGAAAATGCTAACAGAACTGATAAATGTATTGATTGAGTGTAGAATTCATTTCAGTAATAATAGTTGCATATAATTTATCATCATCAGAATAAATTGTTATCAAATGTACGTAGTTCAAGATATCAAAACTTGGAAAAAGATGTTAAAATTGACAAATTTCCTTATTTTTATTTATCATTATTTTTCGAATCTATCAAATAATCATTGATCGATCTATAATGTCTGTAGTTTTACGTATACTCATCACAAGAAATATTCCAATATATATCGGATACCTGAACTCATATTGATTAGACTAGCAAACGCTAAATTAATTGATTGAGATGAACTTTTCAACCGAAATCATCATTGTTTCACTGAAACTTTGACCTATTGTGATATATATAGATATATATATACAAAAACAAATCGAATTTCAGTGTGAAATGTCAATAATAGTTACGTTTAATGATTCATAAAATCTCTGAAAAATTTCAGGCGATATATGTTGTTTTTTTTCTCATCGAAATATCGAATTTTCATCTAGACTATTATGTATCTGATACTCGTAACAAAGGATTCTACGTTTCTTTTCAAATTCTATACTCTCAAAACAGAACATCCTTGTCCGCTGAAACTTACTTCATATTTTACAACCTATGTAATACGTGTATAGGCAGTGTCACGCCAATATTTAATGTACAGTTTAATGTAGACAAAAAAAGACCTCAGTAATAAATTCTGACTCAGATTCGAAAGTTCAATGAAACGATGTTGTTTTAGCTTTATCAATCTCGCAGAGAGTCCACGTATAGATATTTCTGTCGTCAATTAATTTACAAAGACCTTCGTTCATTTTCATTCGTAATCAAATAAAACGATCTTTTTTTTCCTGTTATTACCTTTCATCACTAGTAAACGCGTATGTGATTTACTGGATACTTCATATTCAGCAGAATATGTTCAATTTCATTTGCAGTATTAACACCTGAAAATATACTACTGAATCCTATACAGTATCCATTTTTCTCTCTATCCTATTCAAATTCTCTTATTATTGAATATGTCAAATAGATTTTAGTAAAATGAACTCATCAATGTACTTTTATGTAAATTCAACATCCTACCAACTGCATATGTAATTAATTTAAAAGGATATTCTTTAACCTAGAACAATGCACACACACAGATATGATTAGCTATTGTTACATCTTTTCCGTGGTTGTCTTAATATCACTACTAGAAACAAAAAGAAAAAAAGCGGCATGTACATAATTGTAATGTAATGAGTTTCAATATATCTGAGGAAATCTTTTTGACAATCGCTAAAATTCTTCACCTGAATGATTATGGTTTCAAAGAAGTGGAAGTCAATAGACTGATTTCTCTATGAAATTTAATCAAAAACTAAACCGTTACTAACAATCATCAAAATGCATAGACTTCAATTATTTTGCTCAGAATAAACTATGCGAGATGGTATCAGACGAGTGAATTACAAAACTATCGTACTAATTCGAAATACTGAAGAAAAAGGTTATTTTACTGAGGAATGTGATACGAAAAAGATAAGAAACAGCCTTGATAGACACTATTACTATGGTCGAAATCCATGAGAACCATTTAAAAACTATAAAAATACCTTAATATGTATCAAAGCAATTTTTGAATACGATTATTTTTCAAAAATCTATCAAAAAACAATCGGAAAATCTAGACAAATGATAATCGTTTTACGATCATGAAACTTCGTCCACGATCTGATCGGTTTATTTCTTGTCTGTTACCTTTCATTGATTTCCAGTCTGATCAGTTTTATAGTGACTTTTTAATCTACGAATTTATTATAACTTCATTTGATTGAACAGAGAAAAGTAACTATAATGTCTGATGATGGAACTATAAATCATTAGTATATTTTCAAACTGCCTAAGGCAACTCGATTTATTTCCGACATGTGAATGACAACAATAGCAACCATTCTTATATTCAAAATTTATTTTTAGATCTTACCTATTCAGTATGTTAGTATTTATCAAGAATAAAATTATGTTGCTTTTGGTTTGTACGTAGTAATGAGGCCTTATTAAAACAACTTGATCTGAAAATAAAATCATAAAGATTGATTCAGAATAACTCGAAATATTGACGTTATATCATCAGAGAATATTATACTACCATAAAGCTGTAATTCACTCATAAATGTAAGAACAAATGTCATGAAAATTTTTCTATACTTTATATATTTAAAGTCTTTTTTTTATAATCAAATATAATCAGTGTTTTATGCATAAAAAGGATACTTTCGATGTATTTTATTATCAAAAAAAAAGCAACTGAAGCATATCTAATCGAAATCAAACATAAAATTTGTAAAAAAAACTCTGCCTTTTTATATTCACGAAATATACATAACTTTTTTCTGTCGATGCACTATTTCAGCTCTACCGAGCGTCACCTAATCAGCTTTTGGCTTGACAGTGTTCAAAAACGATAGAAATTCATCTCAGTTATTGACCTTTGCTCTTTATAAGTGATATCCAACTAACTTTGATTCATATTAGTGTCTCAAAATTATTTTCATACTCGGTTTGTAGTTTAATACTAGGGAAGAATCTGGATAGACGATATAAATTATATCCAAGACGTAGAAATTTTAAGAACTATAGACGAAGCTTAATTATTTTTTTATACTACATTAATAATGTTTCCAAATCCAAAGTATACAAATAAATTTGCGAGTTTCAATAAAAAATCTTGGCAGATGAATTCGAAATTGTAATAATAACAACCAATGAAAATTATTGTAGGCAAAGCGCCATCTCGTCTTTTTGAAAACGATGACAAAATAATAATCAAGTCTTAAAGATCTCTTAAATTATCGTTTTATAACATGAAAAAAGTAAAAGTAAATGAATATCGCATTTCATATATTTCTCTTTCTCGTTCAATAATTCAATCATATGATTGGTTAGTGAAGATGAGACAAAGACACAAGTGTATATACCCCCTCCCTCCCTCCAGAAAAGAAATAAGCTAATGCACAGCCATTTTTGTTTCTCATACAACCATTCTCACGAATAAATCATATTGTTATTTATTTCCCATAAAACAAAAACACAACACTATTCGTTTTTTTTTCATCTATTTTAGGATCTTATCCTTGCTTTCCCATTATATATATATATATTCAAGCTCCCTCTTGATTAGCACAGTCATGTTGGCAGTCGCATCACTCAAGCGTTCATTAGAATTCGATCCAGTTGAACAAGGTGTTAAACGAAAGCGAGCTGAAATGAAATTATCACCACCATCATCACCATCGTCATCTTCATCAACCACAACAACATTTCCGATGAATACTAACCCATTATCTCCATCAAAGCAGCAACAACAACAACAACAACAATCTATATTTACCTCATCACCCAATAAAAATCAATCTTTAGTATTTAAAAAGCCTTGTTCGCTTACAGCTTTAACATCATCATCATCGACCACTGATGATATTCCAATGTTTACGTATACACAAACTGCTCAAATGTGTGCACGCCTTTTACGTGAACAAGATCGATCTATTCGCGAACAGTATGAACAACTTCTATCAACTAAACTTACAGAACAATATGATACATTTGTAAGATACACTCACGATAGTGTTCATAAAGATCAATCTAAACGGCAACAACATCGACTTTTTCATTTCGGTCAACAACAAGAAAAAAATAACACACCAACCGTTGCCTTTTCATATGTTTCATGAACGTCGATACAAAACTTTTTTAATTTGGTTTTTCTTTCTCACGCACACACATTATACATACGATATTCTCGTTTTTTCTTTGTTTTTTTCCTCTCGATGTACCGTTTCTTCTCTTATATGAAAGTGCGTTGAACAATTTCGCCATATGTTATAGTTAAGGAAAAGCGTCTAACTCTAGTTTTCATTACTTTCTATGTGTGAGCGTTTTTTTTTTGTAAGAAAACATTAAAAACATATGCGAACATGAACTGTATATGTCAATTTAGAAAATATCGAAGGGCACAATTTGCAGCAAAAAGAATTCGATATGGCCATTCAAGAATACGACCGGTTTCTGTCAGAATTGCATTTGTTATCTTTTCGATGAATACTGACTCTAGCATAATATTATGAGATATGAATAACTTTATGTTTATTCATCTTTGTGCTTGAACAAACACAAGCTATAGAATAGATAACAAATGCAAAGCATTGTTTTTTTTTCTACATCCATGGCAACAATGGATATTCCGCGTACCATTCGAAAATGAATGCGCAACAGAAGAAATAGTGGCAGCACACTATTTTTATTGAATTAATAAGATGAGCACTTTAATTGTTTCTGTAGCTACGCTTAGATATTGTTTTACACACACACACACACATATATATATATATATATATATATATTAAGTAAACACTCGTCGGCATGTTCTAAAAACTTCAAGTAGATTGCTATTATTTTTCTCATTTTTTCTCAGTTATAAGAGTTGTCATACTCGCCAACGAATTTACTTCTGTTCTTCACTTGTCTCTATTTCTACTACGTCTCATCAAATACTATCCGAATGTAAGTACATACTTTCGTTCTACTGTTTGAAAGTGCTTGTATTATTCTAGATAACTAATCAAGCAAGCATACCATCGCGTATCTACTACTTTTATAGATTGACAATTCTTAAGGTACTTTTTTACGCGAATGGAAAGGCAAAATCTTTTGTACTCATGAAATACGTTATTCAACATTTATTTTTCAATGGCATACATGACTTTCATTCTAAAGTGCATTAGAATATTTGCTTTAAATTACTTGTGCGAGCTTAAAAGTCTTTCTGCTTTACTAAGAATTCCTTTGGTAGTGGATGTCGAAATTCATCACATATTTACTTGATGGTCTTGGTTTTCTAATATTTCAACATATAGACTAGCGATTCTTATCGAAATTTAATGCTGTTTGCTTTATGTTTTTATCCAATCTAAACAAATCGACCATAGATATTTTAGAAAATCAACCAGAAAAATAACTGGAGNGGGGGGGGGGAATACATAAGTTTATTTCAGTATTGTAAACAAATGATTGTGAATTTGTTTATGATAATTATTTGTTGAAAAAAAGCTTGTTTCTTATTATGGACGAAATTACAAAACAAAAAAGAAGAAAACCATAATTAAAAATATATAAACAAATTTCTAGAAAGTTTACAGTAAAACTGATCGAGTTCTATACTCTGTTATTTGTCAGAAGCAAAAAAAAATAGTATGCTCTATACCATATCCAGAACAAACTAAAAATATAATAGTCTTTACTATATAATGATGAAATATCTAAAAGAAAAATTTTATTCAGAATAACTAACGATGGTCAATTTGATTTCGAATAATCTTAATTGAATTTATAATGATCACTTTATGAAGCAGAATTTTCATGTAAAATTATACTGATAAATAAGTTTAATGATCTATAGAATATGTTGAAGGTTACAGATGAAAAGAATGTTCTTTTTTCCTTGTCAGAATATCAAATACTTTCAAGTAGATTCGATTGCTTACATTAATGCCTATGGCATATGACTATTTTCTTTTGAACTTTAACACCTTGACAAAAGGGTATTCTCTTCAGATGAGATCTTGAAGATATTTGATGAACTGTTTGACCTCTATGCGCACAAAACTCTGTTATTTCACCTTGATAGTTTCTATTTCAATGTGTATATACTCCGGAGATATAACAAGAAAAGATACTAACACATCTCTTAATGTTAAATATCAGCTCAACCGACAAACTATCTGCTAGGTTGATTTCTTCATATTTTCATATAAAATAATCTAATTTTTTCGTATGTTTTTATTGTTTTGAAAACGAAAAAAAAAACTTTTCCATTTTTCCCTTTCGTCGTCGCCTATCATTAAAGATAGAAAAAGTATGATGTGTGACTTATTTTTTATTCACTATCATCATTTTATTTCTCTCATCAACGAAAGAAATATCTTGTTCAATCAATGTGTATATTACGCACGCGCACAAAAGAGAAAAAGAAAAAACAGACGAACACAGAAATAATTTTTTCCTAATTTTTTTAGTTACTTTTTTTTCGTGTATGATCATCTATATTGTTATTCGAATAACAAAGAAAACATCAAGATACAGTTTTCTCGATATTCACCTGTTCGAACAACAAACACTAGATAATGACTACACATACACACCAACAAACAGACATAAAAAAAGAAAGAAAAAAGAGAAGACCATGAATGAATGAGAAAGAGAATGAATGAAACAACAACCAAACAAAACAAACCAAAATAGTAGGTGGGAAAACACAAGAAACAAATATACACACGCGCACGTGCGCATACACATTAAAGGGATACAAGCCCATGATGATGATAAAAATCAGAGAAACACAAACATATAGATATATATAGATATATATCAAGAATCGGATGTAGTCACCGGTGTTGATGATGTGAATTTATGGGTCTTCGTTGGAGGATGTTTACGATGAAGCTGAACTAATTGTACAAGACCACATGATGATGGTGTTTGTTTTGTTGGTGTTGTTGATGGTGATGTTGGTGGTAGAGGTGTAGAAGGAATAACATATGACGGATGATGTGAAGGAAAAACGGGTGTTGTTGGAGAAAGAACATATGTTGACGACGATTTACTGAAGAATTGTTGTTGTTCGTCGACGTGTTCCTGTTGTGAAGTATCCATATCGTTGTTATTTAGCGTCGATGAAGGTGGTGTCGGCGGTGTTGATATTAACATCATCTGTTGTGATGTAGATATGGAATTTGATGATGTTAATGGAGATGGTGACGATGGTGATGGTGGTTGTGGTTCGCTTAATGTATATAAAGCTTGATTAACACGACGTGATGAACATGAATATGGATGATCAAGTTCAATAGAAAATGATGGTCGATGTTTACCGGCAGTATTCAATGATACAGTATCGTTTAAGTAAATCGACGAATTAGATGATGATTTCGATTGGAAATGTTGTGCTAATGACATCGTATGATCTTTAACGGTTAAATGTGAATGAAGATGATAGGATTCTTTAAGTGATGGTCGAGATGAAAGACACCATAACACGGGTCTAATTGTATCAATGAAGTAACGAAAAAAAGTCAATTATAATATTCAAAAGAACTATAAACATACTTTTGATTTAATACATACTTGTCTGTGATATGTGATGACAGAAATGTATCATCTGTTAAATCTTTATTCTCCTGTTCAATATGACGATCATAGAGAAGTCTGTAAAAAAGGAAACAATAATTTATTTGCTTTATTTGAAACAAAAAAAAAAAAACTAAAACAATTTTTGTTATATGTACCTTCCACCCCGTCCCATGCGTACACGTCGTTTGCCAAGATGACCTCGTTCAGAACAAGCCACAAAACAAAACGATGAAAACGTTGAACGTCTAGGTAGAACATGCTGTTGTTGATCTTGATCAATTGGCTATTTTGAAAAGTAAAATCTCCCAATTAGTCAATAAATCCATAAAATCATCATACCCTTAGATATCTACATCCAGCTTTAGGCCGGAATTGCCAAGGGTCAGCAGATTCTTCATCATCAATACTCGTTCCAATTCCATCAAATGAATTATTTATGTTCTCATTTGAATTAGATAATATAGATGAACCATCTTGCAAAATAACACGACGATTTGTGTTATTATCAAGCTCCTAGACAAATAATTTTATTATTAATGATTACATATTTTTATTAATTTTTTCAATTCAATTTTACCTCTTTCTGCTGCAATTTTTTTGCTGCTTCAAGAAGTTGAGCTTTAAGCAAAATTGCACCACCTGGTGTATTTTCTGTCAAGGACCATAAATCTGCTAGTGGAAGATTTCGATGGTTTTTGCCTTGTTTAACTGTCCCTGTTAGAGAATTTTTTGAACGTCGTTTACCAGGTTGTTGTTGTTGTTGTTGTAATTGAGATGAAAATGCGTTTCCTGGTGAAAGTCGTTCGAGTATAGATTGTGGCAATGCCAAATTATGTACAGTAGGGGATGATGGTGTAGTTGGTGATGACAACAATTGAGTTAATTTATCCGTCTAAAAAGAATAATGATTAATAATCCTTTCAATAGTGAAAACTAAGCTGCTAACTTACATTATTCAATTTTTTCAAAAGTTTTTTCGACGATAAATTATTATTATTATTCATCGAAGAATCAGATGCTTTAAACCGTTTTAATTTCGGTTGTAAAGAATCATTCGAATCATTCGATAATGATCGTGATTGTATAGGTGTTTGAAGTAGACTAGCTAATGTTGATGATGACAATTGAGTCTTTTTATGATTTTCAATGCGCATCAATTGTGTCAACAATTGTTGATGCTGTGCAGCTGTTAAACTACTACTACTGTTCAACAATGAAGATGTTTTTAAACTGGAACGATGATGATGATGATGATGAGAATGTCGATCGTGATTTGTCGGCTGTGTGATAGATGAGTTAGTCGTCGATGCTTCGTCGTCGGGCTTCGATTCACATCTGGACGAGTATATAGAATAGAAAGGTAGACAACACACAGAGCTCATTAAACGAGACTCTCCGGTTGCCACCGGAAGATGTGCAGGTTGCGTACCGTGCTTTAAAAATTGAAAGTGCACATTCCAACAATGATGCTTTGGTTGCTTCCCGAACTTTGATCATACTTGTGAGTTTGCTACGATAAAAGAAAAAGGTGAAATCAATCTCTATGTTAAATACAATTTCGATTAAACATACACGACGGCTTCAAAATTGGAACGCAACTTGAGCATAGACAAATATGCCTGCTCATCGTTTTTACGATTCTTTTAAAGCAAACAAACAAAATCGCTATTAGAATACTTGATATTTTGAATAATTCGTTTCATACTTTTCTTGTGGTCATTTTTTCAACTCTTCGTCTAAATGCCACATAAGGATGATGTTTGCCTTTTTCTTCTTTAATATCACGTTCTGTCAGCAATCTTGGTTTCAATCGTTTATCCTAATTAATTTTGGTAAAAAGGAAAGAAAAACGAAAACTAAAATAATGCCATGAACTTATATATATGACTCTATTAATCAATAGGAACAAAGACCTCTGTAAATCAAAAAAATAGTTAATATACAAGATCTTTTATAGTGAAATAAAAAATCTAATATATTAAAATCTATTTTTTTAAAAGAAAAATTCAATTTAAAAAAATGTACCCGTGTTGTTCGACGTTTATGCCAAAAGTCATAAACCGTTTTCAAATATATTTCATCAATATTGGAAAGTAATGTACGTGCTTCATCGTATGAAATAAGTGTTCGTGTACTTGCATTCTCAAGTTTATCAATAATGATTTCATATTCGAGATGTGTAAGATTTGGACAAGATACTCGACCATATTCATTAAACCACTCATGATCGGCTCTATCCATATCATATTCAGGTTCATCAGATTCAAGTTGTAAAGCTAAAAAACAAGGCTTTATTGGAAAATAAACTACAACAAAAATTGCATATACGTTGTAAACGAATAAGTTGTTTAGGTAATTCAATATTTGCAGGATATATGGATTGACTATTTGGATCTTCATATAAATCAGGGATTGGTACAGCACGAATTTTAGCTGAACCAAGACGTCTTTGAGCATCAAGAGCATTTTGAAGATGATATTCCTATTAATAAAATAGTAATAAGAATTTAACTTTCTCTTATTTTTTCTTATTGTTATATTCGAACCGATTCTTCTTCTCTTTCCATTCCCGATACGAATGGCATTTGTGGTACACATCGTTGTGGTAATTGTGCATTTGACAATGACGCAGAGGATGATGAATTTTGGTGAAATGTTTGAAGATTAGATGTGGACGAAAGATACTCAAGAAGATTATTACTAGAAGCTGATTGAGTTGCTGCTGCTGCTGCTGCTGTTGTTGTTGTCGCTGTTGCTGTTGTTGTTGTTGTTGTTGATGATGTTGATGATGTTGCTGTAACTGCTGCTGCTGCTGCTGCTACTGTGGTTGTGGTTGACGATGATGAATTCGTGAGTGTATTATTGTTATCATCATGTTGATCGACAAATAGTCGTATACGTTTACTAGGATCAAGATTTCGTGCTCGAAAAAGAGGACGATTCATCGAATCTAGAAACATAACAATCGATTTTCTTTTTTCTTCTTTAATACGAATAAACCTATGCGCTTGTTTGTACGTATAACTGACTGAAAACAATACAAACTAAGACGTTCTCTTCACCGATTTTCGGATGATGAATGAGCTAGTTAGACTATCGAAGAATATACACGCTCTCCTTTTGTTCTTTCTACACATAGGCGCGCTTAAACAATGATAAAAATCACGTGCTTAAGTTATTCTTTCTTTTTTTGTTTTGTTTTTGTTGTTCTTTAATAGACAGGCTGAATAATATTTAAATGACGGAAATACAGAGAAAATATGTCTGTTTGATATTCGCATGTTTCAAGGAGTGTTTACACCTAGATAAAGAAAAAAAGGAAATTCGACGAGTACGGTTAACTTGTGATTCTTGATCTATAAGAGAAAAAAAGCAAGAACGAAGAAAGCAAAAAAAAAGGTCAGATGAGTACGTCGATCAAATAAAAAAGAACTCGCTTTTTATATATCGGACAAATGAAGAAAGAAAGAAAGAAAGAGTCATTTTTTTTCGTTCTTTTTACTATCATATGCCACGTCGTCATTCGTTTTTTTACTACTATGATGACGAACAAAACAAAAAATGATAATCATTTGTTAATGATACGAAAAACGTAGGAGGAAGAGTGAAAAAACACTTACGAAAACAATAACTGTTAAAATAACTTGGATTCATTTCAATCTTCATTCGTAATGTATAAAATATGACATCTACCAAGGCCAATAGGGGCGACAGTGAACTATTTTCATATGATTATGTAATAACATTATGAAAAAAAGTAAGAAAAATGTACGCTAAGCAGCAATAAACATAAAATTATTTGTAGAACGAACTAATTAAAGGATATTTCATGAGAATATAATGAATTTAGATTCTCTCAGTTTATCTTTTGAGAAATCTTATCTTAGAATTATCTAAAAACTAGAACATGAAGGTCAAAGAACTAAAACTAAAGAAAAAAAAAAGTCAAAATGTTTGTATTTATGATTTTTACTGTCTTATTATTTCTTACTTGTTCTCATTCTCATTCTCATGAACAAAAGAGAAACAATAAACGAAAAACCAGTCAACAACAAAACCAAATTTTTTCTTCTTCTTCCTTTTTTTTGTCTTGCTCTATACCTCCTGCTGATGGTTAGTATGCTATTAGATGTAAAGAACATACAAAAGAAAACGAGAACGAGTCTTGAAGTATATAGAGTGATTAATAGATGTTCTGTATATATATATATATGTGTGTGTGTGTGTGTGTGCATAATGCACAAAAGATTGGAGTAGTAATAGTGATGACTATATGTTGTCCTCTAACGTCGTCTATATAGCTGACTGTATTTGCTGTGCAATTTTGTGCTCTATAAATATATAAATTATAGTAAGAAAATGAGGAAAAAAATTAAAATCATTCTCGACGAGCTTGTTGCGAGCACATACAATATTTATTTTAGTTAATTTAAAAAGATTCAAGTGTGTTTTTTTCTTAATAGTATTTTTTTTCCTTTCCTAGACCAATACTATGTACTGTCAATGATCAACAGTAACAGTAGATAGGAGACTCTAAAATGACACGATCGTTTTGCTCGTGTATGCGCTCGCTCTCTATGTTTTTTACTTCTCTCGCTTCTCCCTTCTTTCCCCTTCCCTCCCCACCTTTCTCTTCCATGCTACGTCCCGCATCCCATCGTGATACATACATGGCCATTTGTGCTTGCGCGCTTGTTCGCAAAAATGAATCGCGCACGATAGACGAGCGAGCGAGCAAACAGCCCCCTTTTCTCTTTTCTTTTTTTCCTATTCTCTATGTGTAAGTTGTGTATTGCATGCATGCATTCGCATTTTTCTTCTTATTTTTTCTTTTTCTTCTCTCTCTTTTTCTCTCGCTTTCTTCAACGTCGCCGACAAAGACGACGATGAACGCCTAGAAGATATAGTATTTCAAGCCTGAAGCTATCGTCGACGTCGATGTTCTATATTTCTATTTATTATTCATTCACGAACGAGAGCGAAACAGCGAGAAAGAGAGAGAGAGAGAGAGAGAGAGAGAGAGGGAGAGAAAGAAGAAAAAAAGGAGAATGTCAAGTAATCGGGCAACTAAGAGTCTGAATAACGACACTATTTCTATTTCTTTTCTTCTCTCTTCATCTACGTTCGTTGGATAGACGAACAAGAGAAAATAAAATTAAAAAAAAAACGAGACGGAGAGAGAATAAGAGAAGAATACACGCACATCGTCATCATCAGTACACTCCGTATACACATAAGAATAGATATGTAGTGGTACCGTGATGAGAAACCTTTAGAAGATTTTGTTTTATCTCACATGATTATGTCAAATTTTACAATCTCGAGTTATATTGATCTATAAATATATTTTATTAGTTTTTAGTGGCATAATGCATTTAACAAGAATCTTATCTAATGTTGTCGTTAGATTTTGTATGTAAAACGCGATGAAGGTCTTTCTTTCTTTCCTTTTTTTTTTGCTGAATGATATGCATCTAGTCAGGCTAGATTAGGAGAATTTACTTACTGGTCATATATAAGAACGAAGAAGAAAAAAAAAACGTAGAGCATCGACCTATTTTTTGTATGTTTCATGATGATGACGGGAAAGACGACGACGAAGAAGAAAAAAAGATGTATATGTGTGTGTGTGGAACGAGAGAATTTTTGTCGGCGCCGCAATCGAGTGTGCGAGCGCGCGAAGGGAAACAGATGTGGAGTGATGAAAGCATTGGTGCTGCAAAGATAATAGGTTCTATTGCCTTTCGGATCGTGTCCTTCTCATGCATTGAGGATGGAGCGACGAACCAGTACATATTATCAGTGGATAGATGTCGAAAGAAATGGATGTACTTATGCGCTGGAAACTTACAATTCTGCCCATCACGATTGCATATGGATACGTTAATGAAGTGCGGATGCAGCGAGCAAAAAAATCAAATGTGCACGATGCAAAATATCTTTTTTTCGAAGAAAGAAGGAAAAAACAATATATTGATCAAGTTTTTTTTTCTTTACTTAATGCAAAACCACCACTGAAGAATATATATATATATATATGATGGCTGAAAGGCTAATGTATTCTTTAATTTCTTTAAGATTATAATGAAATGTAAATAGGATCAATGGTTTGAACATTCTTCTGACGATGAAACGTTGTATTAGTAATAGCCAGTCGAAGTAATATATTAGTCATAAGAGAAGAACTCCGGAAGAATTCTGTCGCGATTCACTTTTTTCTATGAAATTATGAATGTTCTGGTGAGCTATCGGAATATTCATAGGATACATCAAGAGAAAACAATTTTTAACTCTCAAGTATGATCTGTAAATAGATCTTATATGATGTAGTAAATATCTAAAATTTCTTCTGGCCATAATAAATACTGAAGAGCCATCGAATTTATATTAAACATTATGATATCTATTTATAGTTCGAAGTTTGGATGTAAAATTCATTTGTTTTAAAATTTTCCTATAAATATTACGTCAATAATTGTGAAAGTTGAATAAAAGGAGCATTATATGAAACAGGAGTTCCTGTCAAGAAAAAAATGTACTTTCGTTTTTACATATTTTCAAATCTAACTAAGTCATAGTTTTATAGTGAAATATGACTATAATTGCCTATGACATTTTATATACAGTTTCTCATCAATGGTCAATTAGCTCAAGTGTAATGTCTAACATGACGGTTTCTTTTTCATTGCTATCAGTTTTGTGTAATTAAAATAAAACCTATTACATTGAAAACAAACCTCTTCCCGTCAAAGTGCGTCATCCTTGATGTCACTAATAGTATTTCTAATATAATTGGTTGTTATCTCTGTTGTTTATTTCTGCTTATTTATGAATAAATTTCTGCACTATAGCTATTTGAATTCATTTTAGAACTCAAAACAATGTCTAATTGGTTATCTCGAGAAATTAAACATATTTTACCAACATTTGATTTGCACGCTATTCGTACTGTTCTTGTCACGTTCGATCCATGGCGTCATGATTCACGAGCAACAAGAGACTTCTTACATATTATTACGGATGATTCTGTTGCTAAGTATTACCCAAAAATGTTTGTTAAACCAACAATAAAATCGGACTTGTCGGAGCCAATTATTACAGTAGAATTTATTGATGCATCCAAAGCAATTTTCAAAGCTTCTAAATTAACAACATTAGATATATTCACGAAATTGAAACCACTATGCATTAATAAAGCTCCACCACCATAATATGTTTTGTTTTTCATTGTTATTATTATACTTAGGTAATAAACTCAAAACTAAGAATAAAAGTTTAGTTATGTTTTATGAGTTTGATCATTTCGTTGTATTGTTTTGCATTTATCTTTTTTTACTAATTTTGATTGTTTCTCAACAAGTGAGTTTCGAAACAGCTGTTTCAAATTGATTGATTTGATAAAAATGATATTACATAGTAGTTCGATTCGAAATAACCAAGTATTCAATGATCGTATGTGACATTAGGTATTGCATGTATATATATATATATATATATATATGTCACGGTATACATTAGTTTCTATTTTTTGATGTGGTCCGTAATAGGTAACTATTTAGCTACATGAAATTGAACAAGAGGGATACTATATATTATTATTTCGAGCGAATATTTATAATAGAAATTCTTTTTTTTTTGGCGTCGATGGTGAATCAGATAGACAGATATGACACTCAAAGTACAAGAAGAAAAAAAGGAGTTATGTAACAAACTTTCTTCACAACAAAAAATAATAATAAATATGTTTAGTTCGAGAAAGATCATTCTATTCGTTGCATACGAGAAAATGGTAATGCTGAGAAAAATAGATCTGTAAAATTTCAGTCAATTAAATTTTTCTGCTTGTGCTGCGCATATTTTAATGCGATTTTTGTGGCGTTATTTTCTCAAACAACAAAAAATGTCGTTTGCCACCGCTCGTCGTATTCCACCAGCTCTTGGTCAAGAATCTGTATGGGATTATCCTCGACCACCTCGTGTGGAAAATACATCTGAACATATTGAAGCTATAATTAGCGGTGTCGTAATAACTGATACACGACGTGTTAAATGACTATTAGAAACAAGTCATCCGCCAGCTTACTATTTACCACTCGAAGATATTCGTTTAAAAGAATTTTTGAAACCTACGTCGAACAGAAGAACATTGTATTGCGAATAGAAACGTGTGGCAAATTATTATACAATTGAAGTTAATGGTAAACAAGCAGAAAACGTAGCTTGGTATTATTCGAAACCAACAGGACCTGAGTTTTCTTCCATTAAAGATCATGTTGCTATTTACGTTGGTCCAATGGATGAATGTTATGTTGATGGTGAACGTGTTGTACCACAACCAGGTCAATTCTATGGTGGATGGATTACCAAGGATATGGTTGAACCTTTTAAAGGTGAATTGGCCATTATAGGATGGCAGTTTTATTGTCTTTTCAGTGAAAAAAGAAATATATTTTTTGTATTACCTAATAATTCTATGCATATACACAAAGACAAACAGCTAAATAATTGAACGACTTAAGCACTCACGGTAATGCTTCGACTATGAGTAGTCTATTGTAAAATATAAATATTGCATATAATCATCGAATTATTTTCTCACAAAAAGACCATAAATAGTCTTGAATATTATCGTCGTTTGCTATCGATTATGAACCTTTTAGTATTCAAACAATTATCTTCTTGATTGGAACGATGTAATAACCAGCAATGTAGTGTATAATGTATTTTTATTTGATATTGTCATGGATATGTACAGTTTTTTGCTTGTAATGATATTGTTTCTTAAATGAGAAAGAAAACACAAACTCTAACTCATGCTTTATAGATGTTTTATAGCATTTTCGTTTGCCCAAAAAAAAACGGAGACTATTCATTGATGAATATAAATTGCATTGCCTCGAATGTTGTGACTCAATGACTAAGAGTCGCCATTTGTTTATCAATGCATTCTAGCTACAAAATATTATAGTACGTCATTGGTTATTCATAATCATTCAGTCATGTGACTCTATGTCACATGATTGATATTGTAAAATATCAAACCATCTGTTTCAATGTGTTATCATAGACATATATCTTAGAGGGAATAATCTTTATAAGTAAAATTCAGACGAAATGCTTTGATTGTTACAGGACTACTACATATTATATGATTAAGATAACGATGAAATCATAGATATATAAGCATTGAAAGCCGGCTTTCATTAAAATGTCTAATGTTGAAATTCTTGTCGCTGTTTTTAGCTTTTCTGATAGTATAAATGATATTCATAGTTTTTTCTTGTTTTTAATATCCGTCAATTATAATTTAAAGAAAGAGCAATTCATTATTTTATGTGCTTGATTCAAGTAAGCCAATATATTTTTAGCTTAAAATTATCCCAGGAAGTAATAATGTCTATCATTGATAATAATTAAAAATTTTGTAATTATGTGACTATTTACGACTGGATAGATGTCTAATATTTAAATATTTTCCCTAAGTAACTAATGTATTTCCATTAGATTTTTTTCAATTAACTTCTAATTGATGCTATCATCCAACGTAAACACTGCGGAGCTATTTAATCTTCAATTAATTAAGCTTCAATGTCGTGAAATTCTTCACAAATTTAATATAAAGGATCGTATAAATTAAACAAGATAATCCGAAATTAGTTGTAGCAAATCATTCGATCGATGATGTGTTGCTCAAGAGTACTATTGCATTTGTTTTTTCACTAAATTTTTCTTGGCAAAACAAAAGCTGGTTTTACAAATTAAAAAGAAAACATTTCTCAAACATGTTTCAATTGATTTCAAGCAAATGCTTCGAAGAGAAATTCCATTGTCTGTTTTTAATTTAATTCAAATTAAACATTTGGATCCTTAAACTTTATACTTATACAGTTTTGATCGGAAGTAAATTTCTTTACAATGTTGAAGAAATTCTGTCAGAAGTCTGAGAAAATGTCGGTATCTTCAATTTCGATCTAATAAAGAATCATTTTTTGAGAACCGAAAGATAAAATTGATTATGATTTGTTGATTTCTCAGTCACTCATTAAATTTCTACTAATTTAAGTGTTTGAATTTCAGACATGTAGGATCGAATATACTTATTAAGTTTTATTCTGTGTTAGAATTTCTACTAAAAGATGTTTTTTGTTTTTGATAAAATTCATATTTTAGAGTCTGCCAAGTAAACATTGATTTCATAATAAATTCGGAGTGGAACATACAAAACAGAAAAATGTTGGCTTCCAATATAATTATCGTACTAAAATATTCAACTAATTTACAGTGTATCTTGAGATAATATTTTTTTCATTTCCCCGTAGTAGGCATTGCATCTAAACCACGACCGTTTTCAGCAGAACCTTGCTCAATTGATCTCACGGATTTGGCTGATATTTCTACAGTAGATACCTACATCCGAGCTAGGAATAAACCAAAAGTTTTATCTCAAACGGATGAGCCATTCTCGAGATATACCACTTGAAAGTATGGGTACTCAATCAAAATCAGACGTTTCTTTTACTGCAGTACTTTTCAGTATATTTTCATTGTCTCTCAAGTTACAAGAGATATAGCTGAAATTTTTTCATCAAAGATACTATCGATTACCGGCTATCTTTTGAAACCTGTAAAAGTGCCACACCCAGGAATAAATTTTAATTGGCACTATATTTCATTTTCAGAAAGCATGCTCACGTATTTTGGGCAACTTAGTCGGATCAGTGAGATTGTATCCACTGAAAGTAGTCTCATTTGAAAGAGCACATCAAAATGTATCGAATGATGTTCTCAAAAGTTTGACAGATTATATTTTGGCTTAGGAAAAAATCTTAACATTTTCATCAAAAATTTCCATGTGTAAAAAATTGACTTATCCGATATTGTTATTGTTTCGTGAGTAACAACTAGTACTTTTGAGAAACTAACTTCGTAGTTTGATACTACTTAAAATTCTCTACAAATTCATATACGAACATATTGCGCTATATCCTTCTGTTAAAAAAATTCTTGCACGATGATAATGGTTTTCTTCTCAAATTCTTCTAAATAAAGATTCTGTATTCTTTTTTTTTTCAATTTCCCATCCGTATTTGAATAGAAAATACAAATTACTTCAAAATCAAATGCATAGCGTAATCGAACATGCAATTCTCTACCATCGTACACACTAGAAACTGAATTGTGATAAATTAAAAAGCTAGAATTAGAAATTTGTAAAACTATCGAAAACGACAATAAATAACTAAAAATTTTTATTAATGATTAATTTTTTGAAACTTTGACAAATGCTGCAGTTTCTGGAGCCATTCATCCTCTCTATATTGGCCTAACCGTCTGAGTAATTTATTTATTTTGCTAGTATCACGACTCTTCACAATTGAAATCGACGGCAGAAAAAGGGTTCAAATCTTAACATGTTGATTTTTAAAGTTCTATCACTGAATGCATTTCCATGCGATGCATTGTACAAAGACGATCACCGTATGAAAATTATTCAAGGTGTTGAATCGAATAAAATTGTGCAACACGATTGTATGATGATGATTTTTTTTTCTTCTTAACTACGTGGAAAGAATCATTGTAATCTATATGTGAACACGGGCCAGCGCCTCTCCATCTTATACCAAATCGATATCTATACAAGCAACCTAAAACATTTATAGATTGTAAAAATAAATGACACGAAAACTTGAATTTTACTATGACGTGTCAAGACAACTGAAAACGCTGACATCTTATCTTTTGCGAGAAAGGCTTTTCTAATATTAATAAACGGTGCTGATCGATCAAGAATTAAACTGCATTCATAAATTTCGTATGATCCTTAGTTTAATCTGTGAGTAACACCAATTTGTACTTAATAAGGTACCATACTATTTTTTAAATTAACTAATTATACAGAGTTCGACAATCAAATGTTAAAGTCAGAAGAAATATTACACAAAAGGTTCGGTGAAGGATAAGTTATTTTAGCTACTTTGGGATGTGTAAGAGCTACAAGAACCTATTTTATCATATAGAGAATATTCAATCGATCGCTACATCAGGCGTTCGATAATAGGCATATTTTATTCTGTAGATTTAAATAAGCAGATGCCAACAGAATCTCGTGAATAAAACAGACTTCATCGTAAAAAGAGAATAAGATGCTAATTGAGATCTTGTCCAATGAAGAAATGATACAAATTTAGAATTGCAAAAACCCCATGTTCAATTATATCAGCTGAAATATTTGAAATATTCAAAATTTGAGCACAAATAGCGTATTAATCTTAAAGTAACGGTTTCTTCAACATCGATCAAAACTAAAACATATACTACCGGACAGCCGCTTCAACTGACGAATCAAAACAACATACGTTACGTGAGCACAATATTCTAGTAATTCCAGTCTCGATTTGCTCTCTGATCTGTGTTGAGTCTGCAATAGGTAGAGCCCTGCGGTTCCAGTAAAAATGGAACCGAGAACCGAACCGAACTCGAAATTTCTAAGACTCTGCTATCCAGAACCGAATCGGGAATCGTGAAAATAAAATGGGTAGAACCGGAATCGGAACCGTTGGAACCGTAGATTATTTATTGACTACTAGAGTCATCTATATTTCGTGAATTTCTTTCAGGGCAGGTAAATTTTCCATCCACTTACTTTGAATTTTGTCCGATTGTATTTACTATATGAGGAGAACAAAGAATCATTTTTTATGACCAAGATAGAACGTATTAATAGTTTTTTTTTATTGAAACGCTTGATCCTTTTACATTTTAGAATACTAGCATCAATGTAAATACAATGTTTTGAAAATGACGGACTGTTTCTTAAAAAAAGAAAAGATCATTCAATTGGTAAAAAAACCATGATGCAAGTGTGACATATATTAAACCTACCAAAACTTCATCCAAAGTTTGGCAAAGTTTCAGTTGCGTATATGTTGATAATCAAAAACAAAATTTTGTATCTTGCGATAAGTGCAAAGATATTCTACATCATAAACCAACAGATGGTACAAGCACTATGCTGAAACATATACGATCATGTGAAACGATTTCAAATAAATGTTATAAGGAAAATTTAAGTATTAGTGAATATTTTCATTCTGATTTATCTACAGCTATTCCACAGAAAATAAAAAACAAAATCGTAAGTGCAACTGTTTAACTAGTTGCTACGGATAATCGTGCATTCGAACTCATTACGGGCAAAGGATTTGTTAATTTTACACAAACTGTACTCAGTGTTGGACAAGACATTGTAAAATCGCGTAGTATCAATGCTTCAGATTTACTACCACACCCAACAACTGTAAGTAAATACTTTAAACTAAAGATTGCAAAAACAAGTGCAGTGATCTTTTTCTTTTCATGTTTTCAAAATAAACACATCTCCCTTATTTCTCTTAATTCCTAGGTGAGTCGAAACATCGATAGATTATTCATAAGCAGAAAATCGCAATTAATAAGCCTGTGTCAGAATATAAAATCCTATGCAATCGTGGTGGACTTTTGGACAGAGTCACACACTGGTAAGATATATAATTTTAAGTTCAACTTTTATTTTATGTTTAGAAAATATTACACTCAAAATTAAAAAAATGCATCATTAACACTAGCTGCTCTTTTTCAGGTGTGAGCTTTTGTGGTATTTCTCTTCACTATCTAAACGATGAACTTCAACTTCAAGCGTTTATTTTGGGCTGCTATCCATATGATCGAGATAATCAGACTTCAACTCAAATTCGACAATTTGTTGATAGTGAGTTAATGGAATATAATTTATCACTGAACAACAACAAATTTGTGGTAACTGACAACGAAAATAAGATGAAATCTAGCTTCAAGGATTCATGCACTAGAATCGGCTGCTCAATTCATTATATGAACAAGCAATTAGAACACTATTTTATCACTAATACAATAGAAAAAATGCCTGTAAACTGCGACTTAGCGCAGGAAATGTTTGGTTACATAAGAAAAATCGTCAGTCACATGAGACGAACACATAAACAAACAAAATTACCACGTAAACTTCAATCCTATTCTGATACCAGGTTCAATGGTGCTTTTTATACAATGAATATGTTTTTAATGGTGTTTGATGACTTAGCTGGTGTTTTAGATCGAACATTTCTAGCTGATTATATGTTAATAGATAAAGACCTACTAGAGTATGTTTGCTCATTTCTAGGTCCGTTTGAAGAAGTGATTGAAGAACTTAGTTGTGGCAAAAAGCCAACAATTTACAAAGTATTGCCATTAAGGCAATATTTATTAAATCGATGTATTATTAATTCTGATGATCATGATGGAATTCGTCAAATCAAAACATTTTTAGGTAACACTAAAATTATGAAATTTCTTTTATCGCCTTACAAAAACTAAAAACTTTGAGCAGAAGAATTGCAAAATTATTCCAACATTGAGTAGGATAGATAAAACATACTTACTATTATTTGAAAAGCTAACATATTCTCGGGATATCTGACGATGGCAAAAAGAATTTGAACTGGTTTGGATAAAACATACTTCGATTTTTCAATATTTTTTTGCTTAGGTTCACGTCTTCAGGATGTTTGGGTGTTACAGGATATACATTATATTACTACATTCTTACATCCATCGTTCAAAAATTTTGATGTTAATTCTATTTTGCAAGAGAGAGCTCTCAATTTAGTGAAAAGCGAAATTTTCAAACGACAGCCATCGACATCATCAACTCCCTGTCCATCAGTCGATAAAACAACAATTATTACTCCTGAACTTAATTCTCAACACAAATCATTAACAAACGTTCTTTCAAAATGTTTTGATTTACCAAAGAGTGACTTAAGATTATCAACAACGCCTGATCATGAAGTAGATGAATATATGAGCATGAACGTTCAAATGAAAGAAGGTGATGATATATTATTATTTTGGTTAGCACACAAGTCTAGATTTCCAATCTTATTTTCGATTGCGCAAGATTATTATGCCGTACCAGCAGCCAATACAACAATAGAGAGACTTTTTTCAGCGTTGAAAAACACAGTTACGGATAAACGTACAAGTCTTGGTACTGAAAAAATAAACAAATTATTATTTTTGCAAAAAAATCTACTATCATTAGAAACGTTCGATAAAAAAATTCTTAATGAGGTCGATACGAAAAGAAAGATGTCTGTTCATGATGAAACATGTCTTACAACCTCGTTACACAAACAAGAACAACTTAGAACGTCAACATCAGCAAAGAAGTTGAAAAAAGATGAACAAGATGATATTTTTATTTGCGATGAAGATTATGAAGATTATGAAGATAATGAAAACGATAAATTTTAGTACAACTTATTGAAGTGGGGAATACTTTTATGTAAACATATTGTATTATAGTGATTTTCTTATATTTATATTTTTTGCTTTATCTTGTAAAAACTACTTGAGTTTTTGAAAATAATAAAGAATATGAAAAATTCTGAGAAATGAAAGGTATACTTTTAAAAAAATGTATTTATTTCATACACTATTATTTAAGAACGGTTCCAAAAATTTCGACAGAATTAGAACCAGAACCGCTATTTTTCATTTTAGAGGATCAGAATCGGACTCGGAACCGCGGTTCCGAGTCTGATTTCGAGTATCGGTTAGAACCACAGGGCTCTAGTTGAGATAATCTACCCAGCCCAGGGCAGGGTCAGGTGCGCAGACATTTCTAAGGACAGGCTACAGGGTACGCATGTGGGTGTGGATGGGTGTCGATATTCGCTACCTCCACCCACACCCACACCACCCACACTCACACCCCAGTTTTATGTATAGATATAATTAAATAGCAAGAAATAGAAATAACTTCGATTTGTTGAAAATAGTATAAAAGAATATCAAAGTGTGAATTACCAGCATGATTTAGATTCTTTTCAACATAAAAAAGTCAGTTTACAAAGGACATCGATTACCAAGAAAAAAATCCTATTTCCTGAAATAGCTTCTCAAACGTATACATCGCAATTTTCTATCTGTAATTTGAAAGTGAAAATAATAATTCTTACATTAAAGGTTTCATTGCAAAATATCCGGACTAGATAATCTCCTAGACCAATCAAATGCAGTATTGGTTGAAGCTATGAGAAAAAGTGATGATTTAAATTCACTTTCATCGTCATCATCATCTTGATTCACAGTCAAATCTTGTACAAATAATAAACAACAATCTAATCAGTCCTGATAGGATCATATTATTCTGTCTTCTCATGTGGACTTTTATTTAAACTTTTTTGAATTATTTTGTTCTGTCTTATAGAAAGATAAATATAGCGATATATTGAAGAAAATAAATTCATAAATTGAATGTAAAAGTTAAATTAAATTTTTTTATTCGGTAAATTAAAAAGATTGCTATCATTGTCGTTCCTATTTTTCTTCTCATTTTGTTTGTAATATTCCTGAAAAATATATATGTTTAATCATTATTGTGTGTATTCTCATTTGTTTATTGGTAACAATGATAGCAAATGATGAAGATTAATAGTACTTATTGAGAGTTAAATATAGAATGGTTTAATGAATCAAATAGTAAAGAATCAAAACAATTTAGATGAGTTTCTGGAGAAATACGAACACTCACAGAAGTATCATAATATTCGAGTGCTTCTTTTATAGTAGGCTTAAAGATCTTCGGGTTTGAAATCATTTATTACAATATAACAGTCTGAACTATTCGTCATAATTGACTGAAAATCATTATAATCGTTGACATTAGTTTTTATGTCAATGTTTCATGTTTTCGATGCATAAATATACGTTATAGTATTTTTTATCATTACTTTCTTAGATAACAAATTAAAATTATATATAAAACGTTTCTCATATAATTTTTGTTACTTAAGAATGAGTAATAGATAGAATTGACGAGAAAATTTCAATGGTATTGTTATTTTGAGCTAATATAATATTTTCTATTTTGAATGCTTCTAACTCAGTTATTTGAAATACCCAACCGTCGTGCCAATGGTGTGTTTACACTGAAGTAAGACCATAAATAACTCCATGGAATACAAGTAAGCAGAATGTGGGTGTGGGTGTGGCCGCAATCGTATATATCCATGCTTTACTTATCCACACCAGCACCCCAATGATATTTTTCTTGTCTATAGAAGAGTCTTGGTTGTGAAAAGCCAGATATGAAAGAATACACGACAAGTATTTCTCATATATGAGAGCGAAAAATCAAGGTTTATTTTACTCATCAAAAAAGAAACTTCGAGACGCACATGTGATTTATTTCATATATCTGCGTATATTTTTGTTTTGATCATGACAAAATAAAAGCGAAAAATAAGTGAAAAAAGAGGAAGAGGATTGAAAGAGAAAAAACCCATACGGTGACGAACGTATGTATGAAAAAATACTGCTTGTCTATTGAAAATGACATGGTTCATTGGTTCACATAAACAGAAATAAGTGGTAAAAAAACCAAGTAAATTCGTCAATGATAAATACGGTGTATAAGCCATTGCAAAGATAGGGTGTGAGTATTGGATGTGGGTGTGGGTGTGGGTGTGGGTTTGGGTGTGAGTGATGGCGCGAGTGGATATACGGATGTTATTCATGAAATAGAACATGAAGACCCATAACCACACCCCACACCCACATCCAACTTCGTATTTGTTAATCTTTCAGAATGCGTTTACTTTCCTATCTTAATACATCGATAAATACTGATCTCAATAGAAATAGTATTGTAGAATCAATATGGTACCAGTCTGAATGAATGACTTTTTTCTGTTTCAAACATTAACACATCCTCTTCAATATTAGACGCTAGTTTGTTTATAGCCAGAGACATTCATATCAACAACAAAAAGATAAAAGATAAATATTTTCGTTAAATCGAACAAACTATTGACTCCATAATCTTTCGTGTTACTTTTCTATGTTTATTTGAATATATAAGACAACATATTACAAAATAGTTCTAGGTGTGATTCATCACAAAAAAATTAAGTTTATTCATGACTATCATTTGAAGAAAAATACAATCAATGAACTGTCATGATTACATGAACTTTCATTGAATCGTTTGTCATCCAAATGAACACATCTTACATACAATTACGATTTTTTTTAGATAGAGAATCAATGTCATTTAGAAGAAAATAATCCACCTAGTTTTCCAATGAATTTATTTATATTTTTTACTCGAATATCAGTATTTGATGGATGACTCGGTAATATGCGACGACTAAAAAAATTTCTCTTTAATATTATTACAGAAATTGTTAAATGATCAATGGAAAATCTCGTCCATCGTCTAATGATATTCGTTTTATATTCATTTAAAGAGAATACTCAAAAGAGTATCGAAGTATCAATTATCAACATGATTAAGTTGTTTTTTTAGTCTGTATCTTGATTCAGTTCTTTTCAACATAACAAAATTAGTTTATAAAGGACATCGATCACCAAGAAAAAACGTTATCTCCTGAAATAGCTTCTCAAACGCATAAATTGCAATTTTCTACTGTCAACTTAAAAGTAAAAATAATAATTCTTATATTAAAAATTTCATTTCCAACTATTCGGATTGAATTATCACTCAAATCATGTAAATTCAGTATTGGCTGAAGCTATGAAAAATGTATGGTGATTGAAATACCCTATCATCATCATCATTATCGTGATTCATAATCAAATATTGCACAAATCATAAACACCAAACTAATGAGTCGCGATTGAATTATATCATTTTTAACAGCTTTATAATTACTAATATTTTCTTTTTTTCACAGAAAAACCGATGCGTCATATATAAGAATTATTCTTTTTTCTCATATATGAGTGTTTATTTAAACTTTTTTGAATTATTTTGTTCTGTGTTATAGAAAGATAAATATAGCGATATATTGAAGAAAATAAATTCATAAATTGAATGTTAAGTCAAATGAATTTTTTTTTCTTCTTTAGTGAATTCGAGTCATTCACAATGGTCGTTGATAATAAGAGAATTTTTTTTATAATTGAAAATGTTCTATCACTTAAATTAAAAAGATTGTTATCATTGTTGTTCTTTTTTTCTTCTAATTTCGTTCGTAATATTCCTGAAAAATATACGTTTAACTATTATTGTATGCGTTCTTATTTTATCTCTTTATTTTCGAATGAAATATTTAACAAAAAATTAGATTATAGTCATGAATAAAACTATTACAATGATGAAGAGTAATAATACTTATTGAGAGTTAAGTATAGAGTGGTTCAATGGATCAAATAGCAAGAAATTAAAACAATTTAGATGAGTTTCTGGAGAAATATGGACACTCACAGAAGTATCATAATATTCGAGTGCTTTTTTTTATAGTAGATTTAAAGATCTTCGGGAATTTAAATTATTTATTACAATATTAAAACCTGAAATCTCCGTTCTAATTGACTGAAAATCATTGTAATCATTAACATGTTTCTCATATAATTTTTGTTACTTGAGAATGAGTAATAGATAGAATTGATGAGACATTTTCAATGGTGATACTATTTGTTGCCCATATAATATTTTGTTTTTGAATGCTTCTAATTAATCCAATTACTTAAAATACTCAAGTTTCGTGCCAATAATGTGTACACATTGAAGCAAGACCATATAAAAGAATTTCATGAGATAAAAATAAACAGAATTTCGAATTCAACTAATTTAAGCTATTTACGCTAAGTGCATGAGTTACATGTATCACATATCCTGTGGAAATATAATTTCCTTAATTCACATCGCTAAAACTGTTTGTTGAATTCGATAGAAGTGATTAATAACGAAAGACAAAACGCTATATGTATTTATGGTGATAACCGTTTTCGAATGAAATGATATTTTAATAGGCATACGTATGTTCAACAAAAATATCTGACCTCGCCGTAATTGACTTATAATTCACTGATATTGTTTCTTATCTATAGAAAGAATTTTGGTTATGAAAATTTCGTATATTTAAGAATGCACCGCAAATATTTTTCATATATGAGAGCAAACAATCAAGGTTTCTTTTACTCATCAAAAAAGAAACTTCGCAATTCAAAAGTAATTCATTTTTTTATGCATATATCAACGTATATTTTTGTTTTGATCATGACAAAATCAAAGGAAAAGAAAAAGGAAGAAGAGTAAAAGAGAAAAAAAACCCACACAGTGACGAGCACATACAGTATATGAAAAATACTGCTTGCCTATTGAAAATGACACGGTCCATTGGTTCACGTAAACAGAAGTGGGAAAAAACCAAGTAATTTGGTCAGCGATAAATATGATGTGCAAGCTATTGCAAGCATACCAAAAAAAATTCGTATTCTCCAAT